CGATACGGACATACCATAAATCACTACAGTACCTCCGCGCACAGCCCGATCTCAACCCACGACAGGTCCGTTGGCTCGATTTCCTCGAGTCCAACTTTCACTACACGGTCACCTACAAAAAAGGAGCATCGAACATCGCCGACGCACTGACCCGGCCCACTGCCCAAATACACGCAAAACAACAAGCCCAGACCAACCCACTGCTTACAGGCCTATTTACCCACGGCTACCAGACAGACCCATTCTTCACCGGAGGAAATTCGTAGCAGTTTGCAGCCGGAAAGGGGGTTTATTACGTAAAAGCCGGCACCGACCGCATCTGGGTACCGGGCTACACATTATTACGGGAATTACTGCTACAGGAGGCACATGACGGAGTTACCTCAGGACATTTTGGAGTAGAGAAAACACGACAGCAGGTGCAGCGATATTACTACTGGCCCGAGATGCTGACCGACGTGCAACGACACGTGGCATCGTGTCCCACCTGCCAACTCGTGAAATCGTCACGACAGCGACCAGTAGGACAGTTGCAGCCGATACCACCCCCAGAGCGTGCTTGGCAGCAGGTGACGATGGACTTCGTCACGGGGTTACCGACCGGAGCAAGTGGGAACGATGCGATCCTGGTCGTCGTCGATCGGCTGACGAAGATGGCACACTTCGCAGCCTGCAAAAAATCAATCACTGCCGACGAAACAGCCCGACTCTTCATCTCCACCGTTGTCCGACTGCACGGGATACCAGCGGCAATCATCAGCGACCGCGATACGAAATTCACCAGCAATTTCTGGCGGAACCTGTGGCAGCAGTTTGGCACGCGACTACAGTTTAGTTCCTCGTATCACCCTTAAACCGACGGACAGACAGAACGGACAAACCAAACCATGGAACAGTTGATTCGAGCCACATGCGACGACCCGGCAACATGGGAACAGCAGCTGCCACTCATCGAATTCGCATACAACAACTCCACATCAGCCACGACGCAACAGTCGCCGTTCTACCTCAACTACGGACAGAACCCTACAGTACCCATGACCCCGAATCCCGACAACCCGGTGCCACGCGCGCAACAATTCACGGAAATTCTTGTCAACATGTACTTATGGTACTGTATGCTATACTGGGGTACACTGTAGAGGGGACAACCCCTTTAGGGTTTCCTACTTGTGTCTCCATTGTTGCTAGTTCAATCATTCCAGTTTCCACATTCTAACATGGTATCAGAGCGAAGGTCTCGGGCTTGAATCCCCATGTGTGCACATGTTGGCGCTGCTGCTGTGCCGTGTCCTAGGGCATCCCTGTGCGGGGGGGGTGTCTGAAAACCAACACTGGGGATGCCCGATTGATCCTAGGGAAGGGTTACAGGCTCGATGGCCTGGGGGGTTATGGGCGCACTGACCCGCTACTTAACAAGCCCTTTTATCCCAGTGGTCTAGTGACTGGGATTCTGACAATTCTAAAGGCAGCACGGACCCGAGCAGCAGACGCAATAACAAAATCAAACATCATCGCTAAATGCAACGCCGACCGCCACCGCCGCCCCATCACGTACCAGCCCGACGATCTTGTTTTACTCGACACTCTGAACCTCCGCCTACCCATCACCCCAAAACTCCGCCCCCGATCTTGCGGCCCATTTCGCATCAGCTAGATGATCACCCCTGTCACCGCCCATCTCCTCCTCCCTGCCGACTGGTACGTCAGCCCGCCATTCCACGTCAGTTTACTCCGCCCATACGTACCCTCCACCAGCCAACTGCCTCTCAACGCCAGCATGACACGACCACCAACAGAGCCAGTCATCACACCCGAGAAAATCTTGAGCCACCGAGTTCGTGATCCACGTGGAGCTCGCAGAATCGAGTTCCTGGTTCGCTGGAAGGACCGTACGCACACTGAGGACAACTGGGTGCCCCTGGATAGAATTGAAAATCACCCCGTCCTCACCGAGTATCACCGCAGCCGCAACTTCCGGGATGTACACGCACTCTCGTAAGTGGAGCCTCCTTGGAAGGGGGGGTAGTGTAAGGAAAATTCATTTTCCTTACTTCGCGCCCCTGCTTATCGCGTACACGACGGTTCCCGCCAAAGGCACCCATCAGTGAAACGTTACCCGCTCGCGATGCTCGCCTCGACCATTGCTCCCGCCACTGTACACCTCGCGACCCAACATAACGGATCGGTTGGTAACCCGCGCTCCGGTCCCCCGCCTCGACATTTTCCCAACCTCGGCGCTAGGCCCGTCGCGCACCACATTCTCGCGCATGACCGTTACAACGCTAGGCTTTCGCTATATATTGTTCGCTCATTCCTTCGCTCATTGTACTTTTGCTTCGATAGTGCCATTCTCGCTCGCTCACTCAATTGCGCTCGTAACAGATAGTGACTTCAGCAAAGTAGCACTGACGGAGTGTGACACTGCCAGTGTCCATTCCATTTGCGAGTACATTGATGTTCCCAATGAATTTTACAAGTTTCAGGTAAAAATGGGGACGACCACAAGGGATATACCGTATGAACTAAGATCCACCAACTATTCATATGCAAGACATATGACGCAGTCTTGAGCCTGGAATAAGCGGATCAAATTATGTATGCGGATTGTTGTACTAGCAAGCTCTAGAGTTTTTGTCCGTGGCGTGTGCTGGAAACTCTAATATCGAGTTGACAAGAACGAAGCGCTGTGAAAACATCAACAGCTGGGATAATTTCCTGGCGTTTATTAGATTTCATGAGATTGTGGTCGTTAATTCTGTTCAGATCGTAACCACACCTTCTTTCTGTCTTCCACGGATCAAAACAGAAGAGTTCTTCATTTTCATTGGGGGAAGGAAAATCTGGATCCTTCGTATCCAATAAATGGGGATGTGATGCCTTCGTTTGTCTCATGTGCTGTTACTGAACCCACAGCTTCACGTCAAAATTTGTATAGCTCAAAATTGTGCATGGTGTGTGTGTGCAGTTTGACGTATAGATACAGCCTGATGTAGCAATAGCTCCCTCTTCAAGGCTTGACTTCCGTTTTGGAAAAACATTCAGACCTAACATTATTCGTTCATCATGAACAATCACGTTGTTAGATTCGTTCATCACTGTAGACTTAACATGGATTTGGGTTGACAACGATCCCCTCTTGAGTGCACTGGCTTGTTCCGCTCTCCGCCAAACATTCGGCAGGACAAATGATCGCAAGATCTGAATAATTCAAGGTTCGTACCAGATTACGCCAAGACGAATTTGTCGCGAAGCCAGCTTCCAATGTGTTGTTCTCGTCTTATCCCTCCGCCTCCGCTCCTCATCCTCATCCACAAGTTCTCCCCTCCCCACCGTGGTCCGTGTCCACTCACTCACGCAATCCTCCCACCAACCCTACCTTGTCCGCTTTGACAGGCCCTCCTCCCCCTACACTCTCCCCTCTTTCCCCCCTCCCGTGTTCCCTACTTTCCCCTCACCCCTCCTCCCCTTGCCTGACCTCGCCTCGCCTCCCCCTGGCCGCACACATCTCACCTCCGAGTCTCCACCACCACCACACATTCCCCTTCCCCCGACGACACCCCATGGCTGGGAGGGAGTCCCTGTCGCTTCAGCTACCGCTGCTGAACGGATTGTGCTGCTGAGTGCTCTGCTCACAATAAAGGGTCTCCCTAGCCCTCATCTCCATCAACCATTTTCTACTCCATCAGCCCACATCAACCTTTGTCCAGCTCGAAGCTGTAATCACTCTCCAGCCTAACACCTTCATTCAGGACATACATTATTCGTTTACCCACCATCATCGCGTTATCTTCTGCTACTGATTTATTATTCGACGAGATGGCTTCTACACGCCATTCTTCCCACGAAATCAGACTGAGAACTGTCGATCTGCCGGCAGCAACGCCATCCAACCTTGGCGATCATCAAACGACAGAGCGGCTGCGAGCCGTTTCCGTTTGTACGACATCCTCGTCGACCCCATCCTCACCGTCGTCGCATCCGACGTCACCCGTTCACACCACCTCATCGCACATTCCGCGCTCCGCATCGGCTGACCCAGTTTCCGGAAGAGACGGCAGCGGCTCCATTTCTTACCGCACGTCAGGGAACTGTAGCGCCGCAGACGTAAACTGGCGCGCGAGGAGCGATCGGCGACTCGAGATGTGGAACCGCGCGACCAGATCTACCACCGCTACCACCGCTAGTAGATCCCCCGCTATTGGGACACCCGCAGCTAACAGTATTCCTCGCAACCCTTCAAGGATCGAGTCTGCTGGCACCCATTGCTGCTCGCATTGCTCGACTCGGTGCCGCGCCGTTGCTTCAACCAGCCGCCGCTCGAGTTCGAGTTCCGATTCGGTGTTCGAATGGGCCGTTCGGGAGCGCATTGCTCTGCGCGCGAGCCGTGTTGCGGCAGTCGCCTCTGTAAAGGCTGCTTCATGAAACCCTTCGTGCATTGCGGGGGCGGGCCTCGGTTTCCTCTCATTCTAACGGCTATGACGCCAGTTCAGTCACATACAAACAGCGCTGCGATATTGCGCAGCGCCAGAGTGCGCGCTGCCTCATTGGCTGCTGTCGCAGCTGAGACCACAGTGGAGTTAATCCCGTTCTTTCATCATGCCTGAGTTGACAAGAATGGGGCTTCTGCGGCGTGGAGGCAAATTGAGCTCCTTAGTCAACTTAGTCGTGGTAGTTTTGCAATAAGAGTATTTTGCTAAGATAATGTACATACAATCAAACATATCTTGATCAGCACCTACAATGTCAAGGACATAACGATGATGCAACGCAAATAACAAAAAACACCCTATTTTCCTAATTAGCACATCGGCTGGACCGCTGAAAGAGCCTTCGCAAGAAAGTTGTTGGCTTCTGCACAAACCAAAGCATACGGCAGGTAGGTAATGACAGGGTGGTGGAACCGCCCTGTTGTGGGACCAGCATTATTAGAGAATGGGAGTGCCGATACAATACAGGTACAACAAAAAATGCTGCAGCCGCACTGTCTCTCCACTCACCTTTGGGCGAGCTTTGGATTCGAGTGCAACACTAAGGTCTCGTTCCAAATCAGATATGCTTGATCGCACCTGCATGGAATCACAAACAAGAAACATATTGGCAGCTCATGTAATGTAAGCCTTTGTGAACCCGAAATCCGTGCTGCAATGCCAGAATCAAGCACATTACCCATTTCCCAATGCACATTCACTTACTGTCACCACAAACTGCAAAAGCTGCACCCACCTGCACCAAAGCCTGAGTAAGCCCATGAGTCTCCTGCCTGATATCCGTCCTCACAGCAACAGCCTTCCCCTCCTCCTCCTTCACCTCTGCCTGCATCTGCTGCTCCTCCCTCTGCAGCTGCTCCCTCTCCCTCTCCGCCTGCTCCCTCTGCTGCTGCAGCACCCTGCCTCGTGACACCACCTGCTGTGCATGGCTTGCGAGCAGCTGAGAGAGGGTTCACCAAGGGGAATACGAGACATTGGACGTGATGGTTTTGCATAGGAGTAAGGGTGTAGGAAAGAGGATTGATAGGGAAGCGAATGACATGCATCTTTGCGACGAAAACAATATGTACGAATGTTACCAGATGCATCCTGTCAGAATGTTGCAGAAATTGGGCGGCTTACCTGTTTCTGCCATGTCAGCACTGCTACAGTGAAGGAGGGCGGCCAGAGGGAGGTGGATGAGGCAGCATCTGCGACTGGCTCTGACCGACGAGGATGGCACATGGGATGGAGGAAGGGACAAGGATGGGGGGAGGGGGGATGGGATGGCGCATGGGATGATGAGATGGGTGACGGGATGGGGATGGGATGGGGAGGTGAAGGGGGGATAAGATGGGTGATGGGGTGACGGATGGGGGATGGGACAAGGATGGAAAACTAGTCACATGCAAGTTTCCAGGGTGGCTAGGCCAAAAAAGATGATACCACATAACGATTGTCATGAGAAGTTACCTGAAAGCTTCTCAGGCTGAATCAGACCAACAAGGAGTTTAACCTCCTCGGCTCCTCTCTCCCCACCTCCACCGCCTTCCCCCCAACCTTTCCCAGACCCCCCCACCCCCCACCCCTTGGCTGCTACGTATGCTGCCACTGCCTCATAGAGAGCATCGTGCGAGGGGCGGCAGGTGAGAGGCAGTGCGGTTGCAAGGGATATGAAGGAGTCGGGGCTGATGCTGCTGCTGTTTGGAGAGGTGGAGATGTCCTGAAGCGGGGTGGGTGGTAACGAGATCGAAAACAAGAGACGAACATGGTTGTAGGAAATTAGGACCAGCCAGTTCCACTTGAAATGGAGAAAACGGAAACGGCTGGGAAGTGGGGGAGGAGGAGGGGAGGAGGGTTGGGGGATTGGGATGTTGGGGTATGGGTACAGCAAAGGCATGCTCTTATGCTGGAAGGCTACTGCAAGTATAGGTGTTGCACCTTCAAGTAACTGTCCACAATAGATGCAGCCTGAGAGAGGCTGGCAGCAGCCGATCCTTCCACAGCTGTAGCAGAGGAGCTAGTAGGGTGAGTGATTGCAGCAGCAGGAGCGTTTGTATCAGGCGTGCTTGAAGTGAAGATTGTGAGGAGAGCGAGGATCTCGGATGGAGGAAGCGGAAGCAGGTGATCGACTTGGCACTCGGTGATCCGACGGCCGATCATGCTGCACAGGAGGGCAGTGCAGGGGAGGTCAAAGGAGAGAGGGTCAGCAGCTAGAGGGCCATAGAAAATGAAGCAAGGACCTTATAATGTGCTGACCCAAGTGAAATTGGCATCGGACCAGAACACAGGAAACGCCTTACGTTTGCAGGTGCGACTTGGCAGATTCGCTGGCATCCACCTCAGGGCAGAGGCGCAGCAGTCGCACCAGCAGCTGAATGGACGGCAGCCCCCCAGCCCCTTTAGCAGCCTGCCCTGTTGCGGAGGACCCAGCTGAAAGTGCAAAGAGCAGCGCGACTGCTGCTTCCAGGATGGGTTTCCACGTGGACGTAGTTTGGGCGTCTGCTGACGTGGCTGTGGATGACGTGGACGTGGATGAGACGTCCTGGTTGACGGAAGGAGGGGGGGAACAGAAGTTTGGAAAATCAAGGGAGAGAAGAGAAGTATCTCTTGAATTACCACCACATTTGCTAACGCGCGGGCAGAAAGCAAGCGCGAACAGGCCTCTGGAAATGACTGACTGGTCACTGAAAATGTCGAAGCGACCATGAGTGACTGACTCGGTCGGTATTGACCCAGTGAGTGACTGACTAACATGCATTGATGTCATTGACGACATGGGAACTGACCACAGGGAAAGGTAGCCACGTGTTGCAGTAGGCCTCGAGCAGAGCACAGAGATGCAGCGCACTCATGCCCATGGCGCTGATGAATGGGAACAACAAAGATAACCAATGGAAGGACGGATGGGGAGAGGAAAAGAAGAGAAGCAAGGAAAAAGAGAGGATGAAGCAGAGACTTCAACCCTAACAAAGGCCATATATGCACAACAATTGTACCCTCAGGTTGGATGGGTGGGGGAATTGTTGGGCCAAGAGTGGTGTGGGGAGAGGAATGGTGTGGCTTTCTGGAGTTCCTACCGATCTTGGCACAGCTCACCTCACAGCAGCGTGCAGCTGGACGAACGTGGGGAGGGACAGCTGCAGCAGCTGCGGCGACAGCCACAGGGGGCCAGGGCCAGCCAAGTCCGTCTTTCCCTCCGCTTCACTTGCAGCTCCATCTGCAATCTTACCCTTGGCCTTCTCGTCCCTGCCTGCTGTGTCTGCTTCAGCAGCAGCAGCAGCAGCAGCACCACCTGAAGCATCACAAGCATCATGACCTTTCCCCGATTCTTTCACTACCAGTCGTGCCACTGCGTTCACAGTGGTCAGCAGCAGCCCTGCTGACTCAGCACTTGCCCGGATCGCTGAGCTGGCATCACACGATTGGAGCACGGTGAGAGCAGCCCGGGGGTGAGACAGATACGAGGTGAGGTGGCGAGACGCGAGAGTCAGCAGGTTACAGTCATAGGGACCACCGCACATGGCAGCTCGGGGGTCATCTCTCATATCCAGGTAAATCGCTGCACAGTAAAGAGCCGTCACGTTATCAGGAGTGATTGTAATGGGAACGCCGTAGCAGAAACACGCGACGAGTTTGAAGGTCTCGATTCCGCCGGGGAGGTTGGAGAGGTCGAGCCGGGCTCGCTTTCCATTGACTGAGCTCTCTGGGTCTCCAGAATTCCGCCTGGAGCTGCTCTTCTCCTCCTCCACAGCATGCTTGGAGAAATAGTCAGTCTGACAAGGACACAGAAAAACAAAATGAATGGTCAGAGACAGGAATGATGAAAAGTCCATGAAGTTCAAAATTATATGTGGTCAAGCTAGGTGCACACAACCTACCGAGGTTCACTCTGATAAGGGTAAGAGGTCTCTCTACCTTGGAATAGAGGGGGAATTTGTGAAGTTGGTAGTTTACTGTAGCGCCAAACGTGATGGCGAAGTCACTGCGCATGCCAGCTGCCTTGAGAAACAGCTGATCCATGCCTCCATATACGTCCACGTTGAGATCCAATAACGAGGATGAATCACCTCGTGAGGTGACCGGTGCCGCAGCACCTGCACCAGATTCTGATCCCAAAAGTGGAATAGAGAAACCTCCTGATGTTAACGAGGATGCTACAAACGAGGACGCAGAGGAGTTAACGCTGAGAGGAGTTGCGGGTGAATCTGCTGTTCCAGTTGGGAATGGATGTTTATGAGAAGGCGGAGGGGTAGGTGGAGCTTCAGCGTCCATCAGCGATATCAGTTCGCCAGGCTTAACCTTCATTTCTCCTGTTGGTACCCCCTTATCTGCTGCTGCATAAACTGTTGCTTTCTTTCGCTGTGGTGTACCGGCTTCCATCTCAAAGTCACTGCTTGACTTATCTGAAAACGAAGCTGCACCTTCCGACTTGGCGAACTTATGGCCAACGTCTGAGCGTGAATTGACCATCGGGTTTTCTTGCGATTTCGCTTGCAGCTGTCCTCGTCGCCTCACCGGTCCCATGAACCAAAACAACAACTCTCTGGAAAAGCTCCTTTCGGTTTTCCTGAATACGAGGATGTGAAACGACTACGCAAACTCCTCCAGGGTGTAAAACGAAAGGCTTTGAGGAGGAGCAAACTTTGCTGAGGCAGCAACTGTGACCAGAAAAGGTTGCATGTGTTGGAGGGCTCGAATGACAAGCAAAGCCAATCTAGCAGGTAACAGGCTTCTCCTTCTGTAAAACGTGAAAATGGATGTCGGTGATTTCCCATTTTTAAGGTGACCTGCGAACGTCTGCCGTCCCGAAAAAACGTTGATACTGGACTTTCGGTTCTGCATTGAAAACGGCGAAGGAACACTCGTCCGTGACATCGGAATCGTCAGATGGTACGGCTGACAGAATAAGCTCGTGACCAACTCGCCTCGAATGCAACACCAGCTCCGTGAAAGCAGAAAACCTGATCAGAAAAAAATGTCAGAACAGGTGGGAACTTCAAGGCTCCACTAAAACTGAAACCTGGTTGAACTTCCGCCATTCGCCGAGTAACAACGACGTTATTCTCGAAGAGCGTTATTCTCGAAGAGCAACGTTGCAAACTGATCGAGACTTCCGACGCCGCGTTGGAACACTAAAACCATGACAGAAACTACCAGCAAAGCCAGCAGCAGGAGCAGCAGCAGCAAAATGGGGTGGAGGAAATCCCAAATTTCACATCTCCAAAAATGCTTTCTCACACAACCGTTCAGCAGCTTTTGGTCCGTCTGCCTGTGCTTGCTCAAGCATAGCATGCAGTGACTCGTGCGGTTCCAGAATATGTCTTGCGGTTCAAAGCTTTTCTCTCAGAGAACAAGATGGTTGAGTAGGGCTGTGAACAAAACTGAACTGCGCCTCGGACCCGATCGGCCCGTCAAACCGTGAAACCCGAGGGTCGGCCAATACGTCAACTTGACGCCGTCTGTTCTTCTGGGCTCGTCATACATACCCGCTACAGAATGTGAGGTACTATCGATGTCACTCTGACAGACAATCAGGACCCTAAACCGTGACCCTAACCCTCTACAATTTCAGACAACACATGCGGCCGCCCTGTCCATACTCTCTCACGGAGGCACTGTGTGCATGCACTATTGTGGAGGAGGTGGCAGGAACAGACCTTATTCGACCACCTACTCAACTACACACACGAAAACATCACTCGCTGCATTTGCAAGCACTCAAATTCTATCTAGAAGATTTCCTAGGGTACGAGAAGTCAAGAGCAGGGTCTCCACAACTCCCGGGCCGACCAACACTCTCATAGTTGCTTCAAGCATTTGTCGACTCGTCTACAGTGATCCTGGCAACGCCCGTCGCCACACTTCCAACGGCGCCTGCCAAATCATCAAAGCTGTTTCCGCCTGCAGTTCGTGACTTGAGGCTCCTGTGGGACTGGCTGCGCACAATGTCCCTCAGAATGTCCTCCTTGGACTGCTCCTCCTCCGTGGGCATGGATGCTGTGCGCTCTGGAGGCTCCACCTTCTCCCCCTTGTACTCCGCGTATGCCGCAGCCAGCTGATCAACCTGCAGGCAAAGAGAGATAGCGGGGAAAGGGACAGGATCGTGATGTGGGTGGTTAAGAAACTCATGGCAAATCATCACAGCTGAATGTCCTCCTTCGACTGCACTTCGTCTGATGGCATGGATGCTGTGCGCTCTGGAGGCTCCACCTTCTCCCCCTTGTACTCTGCGAATGCCGCAGCCAGCTGATCAACCTGGAGGCGACGCGAGAGAAAGAGGGGAAATGGGAGTGTTATTTGAGTACTCTTTAGAGTCACCTTAAATGGGGGTGATATCTGGACAGGGTTGGAAGTCGGGGTGTGAGTGAGATGAAACATCGATGAAGGAGGGGATGAAACGAGGGAAACAGGAAGGGATGGATGGGTAAGGCAGCAATCCAGGGATGCAACCAGAACAGGAGGGGGGGTCAAGGGGGGTGATTATGGGGATGAAGGGCTGACTGAAGAATGCTGGGAAAGGGGCAGCAGGGAAGAGTCAGCAGGGAAGAGTCAGCAGGGAAGAGTCAGCAGGGAAGAGTCAGAAGCAGAGCTCACCTCTCGTCGAGCGCGGGTGCCGGGAATGGCGCGCAAGCGATTGAGCGTTCTGGTGTCAATGTGTGTCAGCACCTGGTCCCTGTGAAGGGGGTAGAGGCGGAAGAAGCGTAAGATGCGGGAGGAGAGGTGGTGGGGTTGGAGCGTGGGAGAAGAAGTAGGGGCAGTAAGCGAGAGTCCACAGTTTCCGTTTGACACACACAGCAATGCACAGGAGAACACACAAGAACGCATCAGGTGCTACGCCTGCTGGCACTGCAAACAACAACAGCGATTGGCGAATAGTGGTTCTCTGATTCTCTGTCAGAGCCGTCACCACCAGTGCTGCCACCAGACACTCCCAGTGAAAGCACACAAACCCCTTGCATACACACGCACACAACAGCCCCATCCCATTCTCCACCACTTACCGGGTGCTAGGGCGGCTAGCCAGGAAAACAAGTACAGCAATGGGTACGTAGTGGTTCTCTGCCTGTGCCGCCACCACCAGCGCTGCCACGAGCGCCTCACAGTGAAAGCACAGAAACCCCTTGCACATGCATGCACATACAGCAACACACAACAGCCCCATCCCCTCCCCCACTACTTACCGGGTGCTAGCCCTGTTGGCAAGGCGGACGAGGACAGCGATGGGCGCATAGTGGTTCTCTGCCTGAGCTGCCACCATCAGCGCTGCCACGAGCGCCTCACAGTGAAAGCACAGAACCCCCTTGCACACGCATGCACATACAGCAACACACAACAGCCCCATCCCATTAAACTGCACTCACCTGGTGCTAGGCCGGCTGGCGAGGCGGACGAGGACAGCAATGGGTGCGTAGTGGTTCTCTGCCTGTGCCGCCACCACCAGCGCTGCGACGAGCGCCTCACAGTCCGCCTGATTGGCTGTGAAGGCCTTGGCACAGTCCTCTGACTCGCACAAATGCAGCACGAAATACACCACGCTCTGATGGGGCGAGTGGTGGGATGGGGGTGAGTGGAGTGAGCGGAGGGCACGAGTTTGAGCGGGAAAGAGGCAGTTCCCTCACAGTCGTGAATCTGTCTAGTCTGGTTGGCTGTGAAGGTCCTGGCACACTCCTTGAAGAAAATTGTGTTGGGGCAGGGATGAGTGAGTTAGGAGGGGGGGAGGAGGGAGTGTGGTGTGGGGATAACGTCATGACTCGAAGCATCGTCCATCCACTGTACTCCTTTCCCATCTTTCTCACCTCGCCTCCCTCCTCTCTCATCCTTTCCCAATCCCTTCCCGTCATTTCCCCATCACCCCTCCCCTAATTCCCCCCTTCCCACTTCCCTCATCCCCCCTCCCCACCCCCCCTCATCCCCCCCTCCCCCCCTCCCCCCTCCCCTCTCTCCCTCCTCCCCTCACCTGGTGTGCCAGGCTGTCAGTGTCATCCACGTGGCCAATCAGAATATGCGTGAGCTCCAGCTGCTGAGTCAGCAGTCCGGCGTACAGCTGGAGCATGCTGGCCCGCGTGGCAGCGTCAGGGTTGATGGTTGACGTCACCAGTGCCAGGCTGACGTCCTGGTGGTTATCCACCAGGTCTGGTGACCCGAGCACCCTCAGCAGGTGGGCCGCTACCACCGGGCGCAGCTGGATAGGGGCACAAGACGAAGGGCAGGGACGAGGGGAGGGGGGAGGCGGGAAGGGGAGGGGGGAGGAGGGAGGCGGGAAGGGGAGGGGGGAGGGGGGAGCGGGGACGTGGGAGTTGGAACAGGACAGGGGAAAGAGGGCGGGAGTGGGGAGAGTAAGACATGATGCGAGTCACCAGCGCCAGGCTGACGTCTTGGTGGTTATCCACCAGGTCGGGTGAGCCCAGCACCCTCAGCAGGTGCGCTGCTACCACTGGGCGCAGCTGGGGAGGGAGAGAAAGGACAAGGGAAGTTGGAACAGGACAGGGGAAGAGGACGGGAATGGGGGGAAGGGGGAATGCGACTCCGCTTGAGTTGCCAGTGCCAGGCTGACGTCCTGGTGGTTATCCACCAAGTCTGGCGAGACAAGCACCCTCAGCAGGTATGCCGCTACCACTGGGCGCAGCTGGGGAAGAAAGAACAAGGAAGGGAAGTTGACACAGGACAGGGGAAGAGGACGGGGGGAAGGAGGAAATGAGACACCCTCAGCAGGTGGGAGGCTACCACTGGGCGCAGCTGGGGAGGGAAGAAAGGACAAGGGAAGTTGGAGCAGGACAGGGGAAGAGGACGGGAATGGGGGAACGGGGGAATGAGACATGGAGTGAGTCACCAGCGCTAGGCTGACGTCCTGGTGGTTATCCACCAGGTCTGGCGAGCCAAGCACCCTCAGCAGGTGGGCAGCTATCACTGGGCGCAGCTGGGGGAAAAAACAGAGCGGGGAATGGAGATGGATCAGGACAGAGAAAGAGGACGGAAACGGGGAGAATGCGGCGTGAGTCGGCAGTGCCAGGCTGAGTTCTGATTCTCTCTTATGTCATGCTCCTGTGGCTTTACAAGCGAGGAGCATAAGACCACACCTGCGCTCACCTCAGGGTTGGAGAGTGCGTAGCCTTTGGGCGAGAGCCAGAGCGCCATAAGCGCGGCATCAGCCTCCACGCCCGACTCCTGCCTCAGCCGCTCTATCTCTTCCCTCTCCCCTCACTTCCATCTCTTCTCCCGTCTCTCTTTTCTACTGCACCTATCCTGGCGATGACCGGAAGGGAACACCCACAGTCTTATCAAACAACCCATATCCTCACCTCTGGGTTGGAGAGCGCATATCCTTTGGGCGACAGCCAGAGCGCCATGAGCGCGGCGTCAGCCTGCACCACGGCCTCCTCCACGCCCGACTCCTGCCTGAGTCGCTCCAGCGCGCCCATCACCCCGGGCACGTGCTGCACGATCAGATCCGCTGCTCCGTTGGTGGCCATCACCAGGAGCGCCTTGCACGCCTGCATGTGGATCAGAGACTCTGTTACGTCGCCCTCGCTGCTGCTGCCCTCGCTGCCGCTGCCCTCCTGCTCGCCTGCCCCTGCTGCTGTAGCTGCCTCTGCCCCTGCTGCTTTCGTTGCCTCTGTGTCTGCAGCAGCTGTGCCGTTTGCCAAGGCGGTATGAGGAGCAGCGGGTTCCTTGGCCTCTGTCTCACGCTCCCCTACCCCATTCTCAGCGACAACCTGAACACCAGCAGCACCACCAGCAGCTCCATTCCCACCAGCATCCTTATCACCCAACCCATTAGCACCCTTCGCACCATCAGCACCCGGGACTTTAACAGGGGTGATCAGATCAATAAGTCGCTCCAGCAGGCGCTTGGGAACAGCAGCAGATTGGTTCATGGGCCACGTGGACGGGTGCAGCACCTCGGACACCGCCCGGCAGACCTGGAAGTAGAGGAGGCGGTTGGAGACGCGCGGGAGCAGTCAGTAGCGGACAGGTGGACATGTGAATCAAAACATCAAGTTAAAATAAGATCAAAACCTCGGAGACGGCCCTGCAGACCTGGAAGTAGAGGAGGCGGTTGGAGACGCGCGGGAGCAGCAGCACGGGCTGCAGGCACTGGAAGATCTCCTGCGCGCGCGTGCTGCACACGATGGTGCTGCGCGGGTTGTTCATCAGATCCGCCAGACAGCTCGCCATGCATACCAGCAGCGCCTCGCTCACTGCCGCCCCCGCCGGCTCCCCTGCTCCGCCTGTTCCCCCTGTTACTCCTGCTCCTGCTGCTGCTGCTGCTGCTGCTGCTGCTGCTGCTGCTGCTGCTGCTGCTGCTGCTGTGTCTGCTGCGGCAGCGTCAGCTTGTGTGCTGCTCTTCCGCCTCTTGCTGTCGCTCGCTGCCTTGCACCGCTCTGTGGAGGTGGGGAGCGGGAGGAGGCGGAGCGCGGGGAGGGGAGCGCGGGGAAAGTGGAAAAGGGGAGGGGGAGTGGGACGGAGACGGGGAGGGGTGTGGGGAGTGTGGGGGGGAAAGGGGTAGAGAGGTAAGTTGGATCGCCTCATAACATAAACCACGCTGTCGTTTTCAACATTGTAGCGTGTGGAGGAGTAACATTCTGACAGCGACAGGACTTATGACTCACTGACCACACCCCAGCACGCAGTGACCCTTCGGTCCACATGTATCAGATGCGCGTTCTTCGTGTAACACACACAGCCGCGCTAATCACTCAGCCAGCATTCACACAGCATTCACTCACTGAGCACGCCGCAGCACGTAGTGACCCATCGGTCCACGTGCATCAGATGCGGGTTCTTCCGGTCGTCCGCTGCCGTCATCGCCAGCAGCTGCGCCGCCGCCTCCGCCACTGCCTGGTCCTCCGCGCCTTCCGCCACCACCAGGCCCATCAGCTGCGCGGGGGGGAATTGGGACGCGGGGCGGGATGAGGGAGGGATTTTGAGTTGACTCACAAGTCACCACGCCGCCTCCGCCACTGCTTGCTCCTCCGCGCCTTCCGCCACCACCAGGCCCATCAGCTGCGGGGATGATGGGGGGGATATAAGGAGGCGGAGCGGGACGAGGGGGGAAATGGGAGAAGGTGTGGGGGGAGGGAAGGCGGAAGAAGCGGTCAGTTCTTGTGCCTGACCAGAATTGCCTGATATCTTCCTGCTATCGTCTGCTTCTTTAGCAGCTTTCTTTGCGTTATTTTTTTATCAGGTACCGCTGTTCAGTTGCCGTGAAATCAAGGCTATCAGGCTCACATTCACGCATGTTCGGCGGCTTCCTCGTGCGACGCTGCGATGGATTCAAGCGTCGCAGCATCTCAACAACCGAACAGGTACGGCGAGGTTCGATAATGTAAAAAAATAGCTGAACTTGAGCATTTCACAGTGCGATCAGGCTCTCATTCCCACCTGTTCGGCCACTTCCTTCTGGGATGCTGTGATGGAGTCAGGCCCTTGCTCCACGGCTAGTTGCACCAATGCGTGTGCGATCTGAGGAATGACAGGACATTATTGTCAGTCACGAGACTCCAAGTGATTGGAATACATAGCCAGCGAAATCTGAATGAAGATGCGTGTTACTTAACGCGAAACTTGACGCGCGCGATGGAGAAAACTATGAGCGAAAGCATCTGGAACACGTAAGTGGTTATATGACGGAACATAAGAAGGAGTTGCGAACCTTTGGATGATCTTTTGCACGAGTAAGCGGGTTATCCGTTTGCGTGAATCCCAAACACGAAACGACATCTTCCATTGGTATCGACATGTTCGTACGCGTCGCACCAAACGTTGATGCTTAAAAAACGTTACTGCAAGTCCCGATATCTAAGGCTGCATGAAAATGAGCTACTGGTGCTAAGGAATAAATAGTTAGTGACCTAGTGACCGTCAATGGAGTCAGGAATGCCTGATCCTGCTATTACACAGGCGGCAACAAATTATAAGTTTACCACTGTATTTGGAAAGAAAACCCAGCGTTACTAGAAACAGGTCCGGCAATCAAGACCAACAGCTGAGTAAGGACCGCGGCTGAACAACTACTCGCGTGAAAAGATAAGTCGGAAGTCAGCAATAACATTCATGTCTGAGACCAACTTTTTGCGCCTTGCATTTGAACATGTCACTCACAGAATGCTGCTCTCTGAATCCTTGACTTGGCTGCCACAGACAATGAATGGTTCGCAAGCCTGGAGGGGACGAACGAACCAAAAACCAAGGGACCTGGGGGGAAGTTGAAGCATGAGAATCGGGGAGAATTTTGATGTGAGATGGATGGCTGGAAGTGGGCCATCGGGGTACAATGGACCACGATCGCCAGTTCGAGCGAGATTCGTGAGATCGAACGGACTGTTGCAGGGGAGATGAGAGCCACCTGGAAAGTGGCTGGCGGGCAGACATGAAATGGGACCTCACCCAACCCAAGACCTCAGAAACATGCAGAGTCGGGTCTACAGTGTTCTATTCAATGTGTCGCTTGGGCACCTAGGAACTTCCAAAACAGTCTCGTTTTTAGCGGGGCGGCAGGGTAGGCCCTGCCTTGTCAGCAGAGTTGTTGAGCTGATGTGGATCCCGCAAATCAGAACTCCCTCAGGGAACAAGCTGCTGGCAGTAGTCAAGCAGGTTGAACGATACGGATGGAGCCACGCAAGCATTACTTCTCAAGTGTCTCCTGGGGACCCATCACATACACTTGGTTGGTAGAACAAGAATATGCCAGCTGTCCGTGAGAGGGATCTGCTGTGACATTACCTCACCTTGCCTCACCCCACCCCACCTCACCTCACCTCCCACTAAGGGCATACGACAAGGGGGGACGGTGGAGACTGACTGCCAATGGGAACTGTGAATCCACTCATGCTGCCATCTGCCTGTATCTCTCGATATCCGGTATGCAGTTACCGCTACGGTATTTTAGGGTGTAGAAGCACTGACTAGGGATGGGCTCTGCAATGACTTCTCATAGTGCAAGATGATTGGCCAATGATCAGAGAGCTTCAATTATCTTTTGTCTCTCACAGCAATGAGGTCACATTATACTGATGGAGCAATCTATCTTGATGGGCAGCACTACCTCTAGTTGTGATGGAGCGGCAGCACTACCTCTAGTTGGGAAGACAAACTAAACCACATGTCACACATTACACATCACATTATTGCAACAGTACTGCAGGCGTGTTTGCCAATGTGGAAATATTGATTGCACTATTGCAACAATCCTCCATCTGACCATGTCGTTGCAATGTCTATGGAGCTATAACGAAGGCTCCAACAAAACAAACCATCAAACCACTCATTTAAAGGCACTAGGTAAATTCCTACACTTGAGTCTTTATCTCCTAGTGTCTTATTTACAGATCTACAGCTACCCAAGAGTTTTGCACCCTTGACAAGCTTTTCTGCTTCTGCATCCTCCGTCATGTGCGTGCAGCACCTTCTGATTTCACATTCCCAATCGCATTGTCTCGACCTTGGGTAGCAGAACCACATACTCAGCACCCGAGGCAGAACTCATGCCTTGCCGAAAACCTCTCCATGGCAGCAGCAGTATCCAAGGCCTCTACGATACACCAGAGGGAGGAATAAAAACCACGGCAGAAGGGGACGGCCCCACCGGATCAGATTCAAGAACGCGACCATCTACCTGGGGAGGAGTCGCAGCTGCCCCCAACCACAATGACCTCAGTCGAACCCACGATGACGCGGACTGCTGCTCAACTGGAACCCTATCTGCACTCTCTCCCACAGAAATTGACGAAGACTCTCCTTCTGCTACCCCTCTACCCCCTTCCGTCACCGCATGCTGCCCTAACCCCCCTCTGTCGGCTTCCAGACTGCTGTTTGTTGGCCCTACACCTCCCCCGTTGCTGCTCTCCCCTTGCTCCCCCCTCTCGCTTTGCTCTCCTCTACCTCCCACTATTCCTCGTCCCTCTGTATCTTTTCCCTTGACGTCAGCACATTGACCTATTTCTCGGCGGCATATCGGACACGTCGTTTTTCCTTGAAGCCACATGTCGATGCAATCCACGTGGAACACGTGCCCGCACGGGGGGAGCAGTTTCAGCATGTCCGCGGAAACGTACTCCGCCAAGCACACCGCGCACTCGCGGAGCCTCCCTCCTTCCCCCCAGTTTGGTAGTGCCTTTCCGCCCTCCAAATCCCCTCTTCCTTCCTCTCCCCACTTTAAACCGCCATACTCCACGAATTTATCGCTCTCCGCCGTTTCCGGGGAAAACATAAATGTGGGGAAGGATTTAACGCGCGATTCTTCCAGTCCCCGCGTTCCCGGCCTCCCCCGTGAGGCGCCGCCATTTTCGAGCGCCAGATTCGCCCGGCGACGGCGGGAAATGGCTCGGTTTCGCATGAACGAGAAACAGAAGATGGCGGAGACGAGGACGAGGAGGATAGCGGAGATGGTGACGATGATGCTCGTCGATGACGCGTCGAGGCCATAGTTCCGGTTTACGTTGGCAGCAGCGGACGACATTTTCCCTCGCAATCTAGACGAAATTCGTCAGTAGATTTTGTTGTTGTAAAACGTCGACAGCGAATCCCGCTGAGACTAATAGATAGACTGGCGTAAGTCACGCACCGCTAAGACTGATTGCATGCACGTTTCAATGGAATATAAAATTGTGAGAAGAGCAGACCGCCAGTTATGTATTCACTGCAGTTGGAATGAAAGTAACCAGAAAGTTCTGCTCCAAGCTGAAGTAGGTGGCAGAACAAGCCACAGTAGTAGTATGTCACGACCACAGAGTTAGGGGGCACTGAGGGAGATGTGTGGCTGGGGAAGCATCTCAGCGCCGGCTTTTGTCTTGGTGGCACGTGTGGTCATTTTGCTCAAGATCGCGCTGGAACGCAACCCATCGCCCAAGACTGACGTGATTTGTAACGGACACCCAATTCCATTACTCGTTACTAACTGGTACCGTAGTTCTGATAAACCTAGACTAGACATGGTAAATGATAATTAATATTGCACATGGTTGGTGAATTAGACAGCTCTAAGGGTTTGCTATTAGCAGCAAAAGTTCTACTACAGGCTGCAAGCAACTAGCAACAAGATGTTGCCCACTAGGATCATTATCACAACAGACGTGATGCAACAGACCTAACTTGCTGATATACCCCCCCGTCTCATTGGTGGAAGCCTTGATATGCTAATGCTGCTGATGCTTCTGAGAGGCACTGAGGGAAGGTGCTCGGCTCAGAACCCAGTGGTAGCACTCTGGAGACTTCATATAGCTCCCTCCCTGACACTTATAGTATGCACTTGACTGTACAATGGCCAGGATTCAGCCTTGGCATGAATTATAGCGCTACACGGTCGCTCACCCGCACCAACTGCTTGGCGATGCTATTTCCTGCTCAGCAAACACTGCGTGGATAGTAGCTACAAGCGCCTTTTTGGCTGACTGTAGGTATACCTCCTTCGCGATAATTATTCGTCCGCTGGTCGATCCGCAACGCAGCGACTCCCCCTCAGCTTTCTTGAAAGAACGAGAACACCATCTTGTGTTCCCGAATTCAAGGTCCCGAATTCCGATCAGGATCCTGCTCCAACGGCTCGGCGGAGCCTTCCGTTTGGGACGGCTGCACTAATGGCGTTGTTGTGGACGAAATCCGCTCGAGCGAAATCGTGTGGGTAGCTGGTAGACTGACTTCTTCCTCACGACAATCGCCGCTTCTTGACGTTTCGTCACGACAATTGCCGCTGTCGCACGAAGTTGGGTTGCAGCACTGTCCGTTGGTGTCACAAGGCTGGCCAATGGCGATCGCGACATCTGGTTCCAAGTGTTCGTCGTTCGGCCTGCTGTCGACCAACGGCTTGGGTCTAAGATTCGCCCGGCACACTGGGCAAGTTCTCTTCCCTTCCAGCCACATGTCGATACACGATTCGTGGAATCTGTGACCGCAAACCGGAAGAGACTTGATTTCGTCGCCTGGTTCGTAGTCTGACAAGCAGATGCAGCACTGGCGGAAGCTGACGCAGTCGCTCTCCTTAGCTTGCTCAGCAGCGAAAATGAAGGTGGGAAAGCTCCTAACTAGATCTTTATCCAACCCGTAAAGTCTTCGCCGCTGGTTATTCCTGTCATCCTCCTGTTCTGGCTCTGGAGCAATGAACCAGCGCGCGAAAAGGAGGCACAAGAAAAGACCGACGAAGGCGAGAAATGCGGCGGTAATTGAGGCGATGAAGGCGCCTGGGGGAAGATCTGACGAGGTGGAATTGGAATCAGGAACAGGCGGAGGAGGCGGAGTTGTCGCCATGGCGTGTACTACAACCAATAGTAGTGCTGCTCCCACGACTAGTAGCCGAAATGCTTGGTACTAAAAGCTAGGTCTAGAATAGCGTGCCAGCGCAACCTGACAAATGTGAAGAGGCATTTACCTCTGAAACCTACACCGTATTCAACGGAAAGCAAAGAAAGCCAACTAAAACGGTGCTTTGAACATCAAATATTGCAGACTGCTCTACGGACAAATCGGAGACGCCGAACCGAGAAAGAAGTTTGACGAAAGCTAGAGAGTAGACAGTGAAGTGCAAACAGAGAAGACATAGAGGAACTCAAGGACAACTGAAGGAACTGGCGAAGTGGGAGAGGAGGGAGAGGGGAAAGGAAGTCTGCTGGTCTCCCTCTCTGGCAGAAACTGGCGATCCTGTCTCGTGGATTCAGAAGCACATCAGCTGGAGCAGCTGGGACTGGACGAAACATCAAACTCCTCTGTGGTTGGTTGGTTACACGCACGCAACTTCCCGTTTTGATTTTAACGAAAGTGATGTTGGATGAAAGGCTGGGTCTGGGCCTTCCGATTGAAGAAAAACTTTCACATCATTTCCCCACACCCCCCCACCTGCCCACCGACGAAGTTGTTCCCTACATGCGCATTTTGTTTGGCTAAATTTACCCACTCGAATCACCCCAACCCCCACGAACACCACTCATGTTGCACTCAGTAGCAAGGTCCACCGTACTGATGCTTTGGTCGGTCCCAACTGCAACTGCGAGGGCGGGCTCATGCAGGAAACACGTTGTATGATGGGGATGGAAAGGAGTTTTTACAGGTCAATCAAAACGGGTTATCCGCACACCATTAATTTCGACTGGAGAATTTCACGTTCCAGTGGTGGAAGCACACGATGATAACCGCATTCCGAAGAATCATCCGCCGCAAGTTTCTGAGAGAAGCCATTCCCAAAGACACGCCCGAACCGAACCCCAAACCCTAACCACACCAATAGGTTTGATTCGAGCACATCAGATGGCTTCGGTTCAGTTAGGGAGCAGGAGGTGGTGGTGAGGTGAGGAGGAAAGAGGGCTTTAGCCTTTGCGTTTGATTGGTTTGGCGTCTGGTGGCGGCAGGCCAACCACTGGCTATTGGCCAATGGTGGTCTGTTGGTGCTCCTCTCCACATGTGGACCGTCGCAATCATAAAATGACAGCACACACACCTGTCAGGCCACACACCTTTCTGCATCTTCAATATCGCAATCATTTCCACGGCCCTCGCCGCCATGGTTAGAACATGACGAACGAACAGAACGTACACATCACACATAATAGATTACAGAATAAACACAGGGACATACTATTAGTACATTTTGTGCTTCAGCACTCCAACACATACGCCAAGAACAGGGTGTATGCCTGTATGTCAATAGTCAAAATAGATGCTGGAAATAAAAATCATACGCCACATCGAGTTCTTTAGACATAATATATACAAAACTTGCTCCTTTGTTGCATAAAGTTATGCATAGAGTTTTTCTGAAAAAGGCGACACTGGCGTCAGTGTACCATGACTTGAAATAGAGATTTGCAATGCAGCGGACACAACTGTTTCCGACCATTCGAGTCTTCCGCCACTGATTGGTCCGCCCAACCAGACCCACGAGACACCTTCATTTCTCGTGAAGCCTTCGTGCAGGCGTTGCGACTTTCGCAGCACACCACCGCCATCGGGAACCGTGACGGTCCGTCTTATTTGTGTAACCCGTCGTACACCCTTACAACACGTCACGCCACGCCAGGCAGAAACCAGCATAGCTATCTATCAGCAGCGCCAAAACAGCTCCACAGCAACACAGAAACCTGTTCTGTACCGTGCTGCTTAGTTGCTCAGTACAGTAGCAGGTATGAGAGGGAGGTTCGGTAGAGCAGGGCAACGGCGGTATTTTCCACGCCCTTACTACTGCTCACCGAGCCGCGAGTGCCTCTTGGCATTCCGCGTGTGCCACTTAGCACACCACCGCCAACCGTGTTTCGGTTGGCTGGGTGGAGGATGGGTGAAACAGTTGCTACGGCAGCCAAGGGTCAGGTGACGCAATGACGGCTGCGGTACGCGATAAAGCGAGACAGCATCCTACTCGCCAGGAGCGTTCCCGAGAACTTTACACGTTTTTTTGTTTCCAATCGTGGAACACCACCGTACGAATCGGCCTGCACGAGGCCGAGTAAGTAACCACCCAACGGCTGATTTACGTGACGAGATGGAGTGTTCTAGGTCAAGTCACTCGTTTCCTCTCCTCGCTCCCATTGGCCAAAAAGGAGTCGTGGGAATAATTCCTTCCGAGGCATGCTCAGTCGGCAGCAGCAGCAGCACCACCGACGGCGGTTCCGTTACTACTTATTTTCGATGGATCCAATTCCAATGCGACAACGCTGCAAAGCCACAGTTCCCCCGTGCCAACGCAACCAGTTCAAATTCCCCTTGCCCGTTCCCCTTCTCTCTCCTTATCACTCCCTCAGTCCGCCTCTCCGACTCCCAAACCCCGACCTCTCTCCTGCTCCTTGCATCCAGCAATCAAGCTGCTTCGCCTGCTCTCACAGCTCCTCCTCCTCCTCCTCTTCCTCCCCCCTCCTCCTCCTCCGATCTGACGGCCATCGCAACCCTCCGCCGATGTCACACACGTACCTTCCCCTCCTCTCAGTTGCCGCACGAGCATAAATGCTCTGGTCGGTTCTCAGCCTTCCCATCTTCCAGCCAAGCCTGGCATAGCAACCAGCAGCTCTTCTATTTCAACCCAACGTACAGGAAACCTGACCACGATTTACTCAAGCTGTCCCCAAAGACATCCCCACGGCATTTGACGTAGCAACGCTTTCGAGCCTTTAGTGCTCTTTTCACTGCAGATCACGGCTTCTCAGCCATCCCAGATCAGAGAATACCAGGTCAAAGAACATGGGTTGCTTCGGGTTCAGCTCTCGGGACGCCTCTCCCGAGCGGGACGGCCCGGACTCACCCCACCCGCCGCAGCCCTCCCGCGTGAGCAGATCAACGGGCGCAGCAGCCACATGCAAATCCCCAGTCACCACGAAGCCGCGCGGAAGCTTCCTCTCGCTCCGAGTCCGCGCCCATGTCCAAGGTGCGCGCGCGCGCTCTTTCCGCCACCAACAGCCCACGGTCCGCGCCGTCCACTCCGCCAGCGTATCCGCCAAAAGACACCGCCACATCCGCTTATGGCGGGAAGCCGCAGCTGCTGCCAAGCCCTAAGGGAGTCTCGTCCCCTACCGCGTCGACTAAAGCGGCTTCTAGCAGCTCTAGCAGTGCGTCGCAGAGCCCTCGCAGCCGGAAAAAGGCGTCGTCGGCGACATCCCGGCGATCGTCCAGCTGGCTCCGCCCTGCCACGTCAGGAGGGTCGAGTTCCACGTGTAGCCCTGCCAGCTCATCCAGCATCGCATCCTCGCCGTCAGCCTCGACTGAGATCAGCGGAGGAGCAGCAGAGACAACAGGTCGTCAGATCGTGAAGAGTAAAAGCGCAGCCGGAGCAGAACCGATCCGTAAAGTCACACCCGTTACAGTGGAACCCGCTTTAAGTCCGTCAAATCAGCTGGAAAAGTCCAAGTCGTTACCAGAACTCGCGAATTCGCCAATCATGTCTGGCATCCACCACCACGCTGGCGTCCTGATGCCCATCTGCGAACCGTCAAGCGAATTTTCGCCACGCTCCAATTCGCACAACCAGTTTTCGTCAACGCCATGCGAGGTCCGCGAGCCGTTACCTGGTTACCAACCAACACAGGACGGTCTACCCGAACGGACGATGGCCGGCCCTATTCCCTTCACATACGCGCAAGTGGAAGAAATGACGAGAAATTTCGATATCGAGAGATTTCTCGGCGAGGGTGGGTTTGGATCGGTTTTCAAAGGTTACCTTCCCACACGGAGCGGCCGGCGAATCCCTGTCGCTGTAAAGGTGCTTGACACGTGCGGGCATCAGGGGGAGCGGGAGTGGTTGACGGAGGTTAGCTTTCTCGGGCTCCTGGAGCACCCTAATCTGGTTTGTCTGATTGGATATTGCGCCGAGGAGGATCAACGGCTGCTAGTGTACGAGTTCCTTCCCCGGGGTTCGCTTGAGTTTTTGCTTTTCGGCGAGGATGCGCTGGCAAACCCGCTGACGTGGCATCAACGGCTGACGATCGCGTACGGCGCGGCGGCGGGGTTGACGTATCTGCATGAGGAGGCGGAGCATCAAGTCATTTATCGGGATTTCAAAACGTCGAATATTCTACTAACGAACGATCTTGAAGTGAAGTTATCGGATTTCGGGATGGCGAGGGAAGGGCCCGACGGGGAGAAGACTCTCGTGTCAACGCGGGTGGTGGGGACAGTGGGGTATGCGGCGCCTGAGTATGTGCTAACGGGGCACCTTACAACGAAGAGTGACGTGTACGGGTTCGGAGTGGTGCTTCTGGAGCTGATGACGGGAAGGCTGGCGCTGGACAAAGAAAGGTACTTCCAAATTCCATTTCCTTATTCAGCAACCCCTTGCAGAGTTCTCCCTAGTTACACATTCTTTGTTTCCCATATCTCGGCTTTTTTTCTATCTTCATCATTTTCAGTATATATCTAACCTGGTTTCCAATCTCTCGGTTCCTTTTTTTTTCCAGACCACGCGAGGAGCAGAGCCTTGTCGAGTGGGCATCCCCATTCCTCTCCACGCCCTCCACGCTGTACCGCATAATGGACCCCGCCCTTCGCGGCCGGTACTCCGCTCGCGGCGCACAAATGGTCGCAGCGATCGTCAAAGAGTGCCTGCAGAAGAAAGCTAAGCGCCGCCCGAAAATGTCCGAGGTGGTTGCAGCGCTGCGCCCAGTGCTTGATCTGCATGACATGGCGGGTTTTTGCGCTGAGGACATGCGGGCGGGCTTAGGCGGGCAAGTTTGTGCTTCTATCGGGGGTATTGGGAGCACTGCTAATAACGCAACTGGGCCACAGCGCTTCCACCGGAGTGAAAGCGCAGGCACTCTCGACGAGGGTGCGTTCAAGAGAAGGTCGATTTCCTCTTCTCCGAAAGCCAACGCTGACATCAACGCTGGCGACGCTGTGCGGGTTGTCGTAACCATGGATGGCGACTGTAATCAGGTGCCACAGGCTTGTGGTGCGGCATCAAGAGCCCCGATTAGTGGTAACCAGAAGCCTCGCCAGGCCAGTCCCCGCCAGCCAAGTCCCAAGGGGGTGATTTCCCCAAACGTGGCAGGTAGCCCGTGGCGTGCGGCGGCAAGGCCAAGGAGTCTGCCAGCTGTTTGATGTGGCAACTTCTATGGGAACTTCTTCCCACTGGATAGGGGAGGGATGGGAAAGGTTGTGTAGTTAGTTAGAAAGGGGTGGGAGGGGGGGCAATTATTTTGTCGCGAGCCCACATCGGGCATGCGGTGTTCTGGTGTTGTAATTGTAGTGCCTGGTTTTCAAAGAAAGGGTTTGAAGCTCAAATTTCTGAAACGGTAGAACCGTAGAATGTATGCGATTTCGCGTGAAAACACCCTCTGCAGTGACCGTACCCTTTTTGGGTTGCGTAGCAACCCCTTTACATTTGGTAGCACTTTTTTCGGTCGACTCGAATGAACAGTGCACTTTTTTGTCATTTTCACAACGTCCGAAGCACTCGCTTTAACGTTTTGAGAACGTATGCTTCAAATGTGTGGAGATGACAGGCACTGCTACACAAGAGTCTCCAAAAAAGGTGAAACCAAATGAGACCAATTGTTCCATGATCGTCGATAAATACGGCGAATGGAAACAATTGGTAGCCTCGCAATATTTTACGGTACATCACACACAATTGACGAGACAATAAATTCAACGTGGATGCAAATTACGGTATTGCATCTACCGTATAGAACATGTGCAAAACGACACACTCAACAACACTAAATGTCATAAAGTGAATGGCAAAATGCATCAGTGCCACAATAGCGATGGATCCGGTATGCTAAGGCGAGCAACGCTGCCCCAACAAAGATCCCCACCTCAATTGCAGACCTGACACACTTTAACATGACACTTTACAACAAACACGGACGAGCACATGCGACATTGTACTGGTACAACGACGACAACGCATAATGAGTGTCTTGGGGAGAATGCTAAAATGCATCGATGATGCAACAAAGGTTGGTCTGGCACGCTAAGGCTATTGCCCCACCGGCGATCACAACCTGAGTTGCATACACGAGGCACTTCAGCACACGCCTTGAGACAGACACAAAACGAAACGAACAACACGACTGCACAGTGCACATACATATCTCACACAGGCTCACACACTCACATACACACTGACACGCACGCAAACAAGCACAGATACATACGGATAGTCAACACCCAACCATCATGAAATTCAGCTATTAATAAATAATCACTAGCTAATCACCCCTTACCCTCCCTACACCCCTCCCTCCCTCCCTCCCTCCCTCCCTCCCTCACCACCTCCCTCCCTCCCTCCCTCATCTCCCTCCCCCCCCTCCCTCATCTCCCTTCTCTGCCAAACAAAATCAACGAATGCAGCTCACGCGCCCTGCACAGAGCAAAAACATAGAATGCAAAGCACGCGCCCTGCACAATAAAAAGGCAAAAACAAAGAATGTTCACACACTGTACAAAAAAATCAATAAAACGCATAATGCTTCCCCGCAGGAAACTTGACAAGCAATGGAATTTTGACAACTCACAGAGGTAAAATGGTGTGGCACCACAGTACTACGCCAACATGATGCAATACATTACAGCCACCCTCACGTTCAACTTCACAAGCACGCTCCGCTCACTCTTGTACTCAATCTTGCACCCACTAACACACAGACACACAAAGACTCTCAAATTACTTAGACACTCTCTCAGAAACAAACACACAAACCTACACGCTCTCTCACGCACTCTCTCGCACACTCTCATGCGCACTTTCACGCGGACTCTCACGCGCTCTCTCACGCGCTCCCTCACGCGCACTCTCACGCGCACTCTCACGCCCTATCTCACTCGCTCCCTCACGCGTCTCTCGCGCGCTCACTCACGCGCACTCTCACGCGCTCACTCACGCGCACTCTCACGCGCCCTCTCACACACCCTCTCACGCGCTCTCTCAAGCGCTCTCTCACGCGCTTCCTCCCCTGCCCTCTCACGCGCTCCCTCACCTGCCCTCTCACGCGGCCTCTCATGCGCACTCTCACGCGCACACGCACTGTCACACACTCTCTCACGCGCACTCTCACGCGCTCTCTCACACGCACTCTCTCGCACACTCTCACGCGCACTTTCACGCGGACTCTCACGCGCTCTCTCACGCGCTCCCTCACGCGCTCTCTCACGCGCACTCTCACGCGCACTCTCACGCGCACTCTCACGCCCTATCTCACTCGCTCCCTCACGCGTCTCTCGCGCGCTCACTTACGCGCACTCTCACGCGCCCTTTCACGCACCCTCTCACGCGCCCTCTCACGCGCTCTCTCATGCGCTCCCTCACCTGCCCTCTCACGCAGCCTCTCGTGCGCACTCTCACGCGCACACACACTGTCACACACTCTCTCGCTCGCCCACTCAAGCGCACTCTCACGCGCTCACTCACACGCACTCTCACGCGCCCTCTCACGCACCCTCTCACGCGCCCTCTCACGCGCTCTGTCACGCGCTCCCTCACCTGCCCTCTCACGCGGTCTCTCATGCGCACTCTCACGCGCACACGCACTGTCACACACTCTCTCACGCGCACTCTCACGCACACTCTCACACGCTCTCTCACACACTATCTCACGCGCGCACTCTTCTTACGCACTCTCTCACACGCTCTCTCACACGCACTCTCACGCGCACTCCCACGCGCACTCTCACGAGCTCCCTCACGCGCTCGCTCACGCGCACTCTCACGCGCACTCTCACGCGCTCCGTCACGCGCGCTCTCACACGTGCTCTCACGCGCACTCTCACGCTCTCCCTCACGCGCTCTCTCACGTGCGCACTCTCATGCGCACTAACACGCGCACTTTCACGCGCTCTCTCACATGGCCTCTCACGCGGCCCCCTGGCGCCAGAGCGCTAATCGCCAGCGCGTAAGGCACCAAAGCGCAAGGCACCAGCGCACTAGGCGCCAGCACGTTAGGCGCCAGCGCGCAAGGCGCCAGCGCGCTAGGCGCCAGCGCTTTAGGCGCCAGCGCGCAAGGCGCCAGCCCGCACGGCGCCAGCGCGCACGGCGCCAGCGCGCACGGCCCCAGCGCGCAAGGCGCCAGCGCGCACGGCGCCAGCGCGCACGGCGCGAGCGCGCACGGCGCCAGCGCGCACGGCGCCAGCGCGCATAGGCGCCAGCGCGCAAGGCGCCAGCGCGCAAGGCGCCAGCGCGCACGGCGCGAGCGCGCACGGCGCGAGCGCGCACGGCGCGAGCGCGCACGGCGCCAGCGCGCACGGCGCCAGCGCGCATGGCGCCAGCGCGCATAGGCGCCAGCGCGCAAGGCGCCAGCGCGCAAGGCGCCAGCGCGCACGGCGCCAGCGCGCACGGCGCCAGCGCGCATAGGCGCCAGCGCGCAAGGCGCCAGCGCGCAAGGCGCCAGCGCGCACGGCGCCAGCGCGCACGGCGCCAGCGCGCATAGGCGCCAGCGCGCAAGGCGCCAGCGCGCAAGGCGCCAGCGCGCACGGCGCCAGCGCGCACGGCGCCAGCGCGCACGGCGCCAGCGCGCATAGGCGCCAGCGCGCAAGGCGCCAGCGCGCAAGGCGCCAGCGCGCACGGCGCCAGCGCGCACGGCGCCAGCGCGCACGGCGCCAGCGCGCACGGCGCCAGCGCGCACGGCGCCAGCGCGCACGGCGCCAAAATAGAAAGTCTGCACCCGTGTTTTTTTTACCAGCCAGTTGCACCCACATTACAAGCTCCTCGAGCAAGTTGCAGTGGTTATGAACCAATACGAACCACAGAAACCGAAGTCACACGGAAGAGACCAAAGTCAAAATGTCAACGGGGAGTTACAATTTTTTATAAGCCCCTTTTTGCTAGGTGTGACGTTGACGAAATTTGCGAAATGCTCAGAATCAATTAAAAGCCCTCTTCACAAGGCAACCTTGGGTTAGTCAAACGGGCATCGTGTGTACCGTGCAATGTATACTTTTATCTACACCATCTGAAGGCTTGGGGTTTCTGCTTTCGTGATTGGCCTAGACTGGCGGTGACCCTTGGGAGCTTGGAAGTAAGAATGCGGCACCTCTAGCACCATCCTGCGATGGATCCTGCGCAGGGTCGAAAATTTGAGGAGATTGAAATGGTGCTGAAAGCAGTAAATGCGTTTAGCAGGTTTTCAGTGCGGTGGAATCAGCGAACCTGAGATCGATCGTGCAAAACTGCTAGAGGTGCCGCGTCCTAAGATCCTCGTTAGAGGCTGCAAAACCTACAGACACAGGCAGTACTGTACTACAGCAGCAACAGAAAGCACGGCAGTGTCAACAGTGGAACATTTTATAAATGCGATTTTCGCGATTGTCAAAATCCACCGCCAGCATCCCTCTCCTTCACGTGCCTCCTGCTATCCAGAATCGGTCGTATAGTACCACATCGTTCACGTGCCTACCCATCTGGAGTAGCATACCACACGATCGAGAAGGATCAACAGGTTGCGATCGTGCTGCTACCGCACTGCACCTACACGTTTTCGTTTTAAGTTCTTCGGAACCCAAAGAAATCGTGTCCAAACTCGCCCTAAGAAAGAACATCCCAACCTGATCCTCAACTTCAGCGCTTTGGACGATAAGGGACGTAGGGAAAGTGAAGATAGTTGCACCACTACCTGGAGATTAAGGCGGTGCTGCTTTGGCGCAAGCTTATAATAGATCTTGTCCTCTTGCGTTGCGAGCAACCCGCGCTGTCTCTCAAACGCCATGTGCGCCAGTCCGTTTCCGTGGCGAGAAAGTAGGCGTCACTTGCACTTGTTTCGATCCGCACCACGGATGCGACGGATCAGGATGAGTAAGATTGGAGGAGATTTGCTGACGTTCACCAAGTTTCGTCCTTCTTCCTCGTGCGCGCTGACTCCATGAAGCTTCTTTCAACCAAATCTCCCTCGCTCGCTGTCGTGTGGCAATACTCACACCAGACGCGGCTGCAGAACACCTCTTTGGCCTCAGCGGCTATGGAAAGTCATGACGCTAGCACCAAGCTCACCGTCTTTTTGTTCGCCGATGCCATGTGCCTAATGACGCAGCATAGTCTACCGCAACCGTCACGGAACTGGGTGATCAAAGCGTCAGATATAGTAGATCCCAATATCCATCACGACAAAGCCTTACTGGTATTTTTTTCCCTTCAGATTCTCCATGGTGCTTGAATCCCATGCAGCCAACGTGTTCACTATGTTGCGTAGACGCATATGTCTTGCTCTAGGTCTGACGGAAGAACGATATACTCGTAACGTCGAGGAGACTCCGCATTGTCTCATCAAGCATTTCGTGAGAACCAGCTGCTTAGTCTTCTCTTCCACCCCTCCGCCTATCGGTGTAGACATCCACGGGGCCTTTATTCCTGTCTCCGTTGTGTCTGGTCCGTGTCCGTCCATGTCCGATCAGAGCGACTAGGATCTCCTCTGACGTGTGATACGTCTGGTTGCAATTTCACACGCTTTCATACCGGTTAGGCTTCGTACTCTCCCACCGAGCACCGCTCTCCGCATGAGTTTCGGCAGCGCTTCGTCGTCAAGCCCTTATTCTTATCCGTGGGAACCACTAAAAGAAGACGTGGAGTTTATCGCCTCACTCGACGAGGGTTGCTGGGGAACCGGAACACTGACTGGAAGTATGCGTGATCAGAGCAAGGCCATGAGTCCAAACAACATCAGCCCTAACTCCAAGACTCCGAGCATGATGGAGTTTACCGCTGGCATCAGCAACGAAATCGTGTGCTCGTATCCGCTATTTGAAACGGGCCTCAGGGAAGCTGGGTTCCATCACCATGGAAGGCACACGGCATTGCAAGAAGACACAATGCGCCACACTTACATGGTTCCGAACCATTCTGATAATATGTTACATTTTGACGCAGTGTTACATCACGAGGCTGTGTTACCCTTCTGCAAAGACGGCATCGAAACATGTGAGCTTATTTCAGTGCAGCATTCTTATGGCATGGGGCTGATGCATGACGACTCTTCAGTGGCATATGCCAACCGGCCTCCCATGAACCTCAGCACTTACATGTCAGATCCGGTTGTGTGTCTAGACCTGAATGTTCCATGGAGCCAAGAAGTCCAGACCTCACATCCTCATGACTTGACGCCTGGCCAGACAAAGGCTGCAGTTTCCTGGAAAAATCCAGAAGCAAGGCATGCAGAAGGCAATGCAGAATGTCATTTGGAGCTGAAAGGATCTGGAGTGTTGTCAGCATCAGCACCTGGATCAAGGACACATGCACCAGAACCAGCACGCACGGATCGTGCTGCAGAGTCAATCCGATCCGGATTTGAACCATCTAAGCCTTCGCCTCTCAAGCAACACCAGCATCAGTCTGTGAACAAGGTGCAAGTCACAACAGCACCGATAAGGAGCAGGAGGTCTGCAAACGCTGTCAAGCCGCCACTGAAGCTTAATCCTCCCCTCCGGGGAGGAAGGTCCATGGCCCCTCGGAGTGCCTGGGCGAAGCAGCTGCTTCAAGACAATTCTGAAGCTGACTGTGTGGTGAAAGGAGGCAGGAAGAGGAGGGTGAAGAGCCTGGGAGCTGCTCCTGAGGATGTGGAGATGACCTCATCTTCTCAGAAAATTGGGAAGACGATGCAGAGGAAGAGGAGATTGAGGTCAGACACAGATGTGGGAGCTTCGTCAGGTAGCGAGGAGGATTTGGAAAAATCAAGCAATGCATTGCCAGCTATTGGGCCGAAAGGACGATTCATGCATCGCATGGAAGTGAACGCAGGCACTGGAGATCATCGCATGGTGGCATCTAGGTCTCTTGACAGGTCACCTGGTAAATCGGGCAATCGCTACTATGGCATTACTTCAGAAGACCTACAAATGGCAGCTAAGGGCCTGGCGGATGGAGACGCAAATGTAGGTTGCAAGCAAGAGGGGACAACGGGTATACATTCAGAGAGTATGACACAAAAGGGTGTCACGATATTTGGTACAATTATAGGATAGGGAAGTTTCATATTTGTTTGAACGAAATACCACAATATTGATATAACAGGGAAATACAATTGTCCAGTAACATTTTGTCATTCAGAGGCTAGCTACGAGCGCTGGCGAGAAGGAAGTTACGCTGTATCCTTCCAACTTGCTTCCCTCGAGATTCCCGCACGTGTCCTGTTGAGCTCTACAGCCCCACCACCAGCAGTCCGTAAGTAGAAAGCAGAGCGTAATATGCGCTAGTAGAAAGCAGACCATAAGCCAAGTCATTGGGCAGTCCGCCGTTGTTGTATTTGTCAATCAGTAGTCTCCGACGTCTAATCGTTGCGTCGGAGCTCTAATCTTGCTGAATGACTTCTTAATTTCGCAATTATTTCTGTCGCCAGGTGCTGCTGCTTCCCTCGTGGGACTTTACCATAAACCCTTGGGCGAGATGCTTCTCGCGATTGAGTCAAGCTTTGTATTGGCTCCCAGCAGCAGCACCATCGCATCCTTTTTCAAGCATAAGCAGCTTCCAGCCCAGCGCCCTTCGCGGCGCATATCCCGCATTCCACCACTCGTGGTGAATTCTCTACGTAGTGACCACGGAGCTTCCTCCATCCCGGCTCCCGTCGTCCCGGTCCCCGCAATCCTCGGCGCTGCTGTCTCTACTTCCGCTTCCGCGATTACTCCAGCAGGCGCGCAACCGTCCGCAACCATCTACCCAGTCGGGGAGGTTGGTGACATGGATATCAGCGACCAGCACACGGTAACATTGGCGAACATCCGCAGCTCGCTAATTCGCCAAGAGGACAGCATCATATTCTCGCTGATCGAGCGGTCGCAGTTCTGTCGCAATAAACCTGCGTACGACGCGTCAGCCATGCCTGTACCGGGATTCGAAGGATCGCTTCTGGATTTCGTCATGCGGGAAACGGAAGTGCTCCACGGAAAGGTAACTATCCTGCTTAGAGTAGGAATTCCCACCGCTTGCACATCCTCCACCCTTGCTCAATATCCCGACATTTCCCCTGACAAATGTCCCTATTGCAGCTTTATTACGTTCCGCTAAGAGAGCTTCTGTTATAGATGCGCATTCGTAAGTTTGTCGACGATGACACCATCAGTAGGTCCACGTCGCGTCAGGTTCGTTATCTTGGGTTTGAAGGAAGATTGGCCTCCATCCGACACCACCTCCATGTCTGTTATCTGCTGTCTGTCCGTTTGCCACGTGTCACCAGGTTAGGCGCTACACAAGCCCCACTGAACGGCCGTTCTTCCCTGATGCCATTCCGCCTCTTATTCTGCCTCCCTTGAACTACCCCAGAGTACGTCGGATGCATGACATCTCCCTTGATAGCCAATTGTGTGACATGTTATGTCATGTTTCTTCCAGATTGATAGAGTCATTGTCTTGCTGTATACTTACGGATAATAATTGTCATTGTCATCGTTGGCCGAAATGCAGGTGTTACATGATGCGGCGAGTACCATAAACATCAATGACATTATATGGAAGATGTACTTCGACGATTTGTTGCCAGAAATCACACGAGATGGCGATGACTTCAATTACGGCTCAGCTGTCACCATGGACGTACTCTGCCTGCAGGTCAGCTAGTTATCTCTTTCTTGGAGTTTTTCTATTTTCTTGCCGAATGTGCAAATCATGCCTCTTGGGGAACTTTCGTCCATCTTCTTTCACCTTCCTTCCTTATATGTTTCTCTCGCTCACCCCCATACTTTGCCATTTAACCATCAGGCTCTCTCAAAGCGAATTCACTTTGGAGCCTTTGTTGCCGAGGCGAAGTTTCAGGAGAGTCCTGATACATATAGACCCTTGATTGAGAAGCAAGATGCAGAGGGGCTGATGCAGTTGCTGACATTCAATGATGTCGAAGCTGCGGTCCAACGCCGAGTTGAGAGGAAGGCGGCAACATTTGGACAGGATATTTTAGAATGTCCAGTTGAACCGGCTAAGGGAGCAGCTACGTCTCAGCAGCCACAAGGAAGCTTCAAGATCCAACCAGAGGTGGTTGCTAGACTCTATGGGCAGTGGATAATGCCATTGACAAAGAAAGTACAGGTGGAATATCTGCTTAGGCGGCTGGATCCACCCCTTTATATTTCTGCCGTGTTTGGTTGAAGTTTTATGTTTCATTCTGTACTACCGTATGTTTTATTGAGCCGTTCTGATTCTAGTACAGTTGTGCTCTGATTTCCGGAAGCGAACCCCTCTTTGGGAGCAAATCCTCGCTGACAGCCCAGCGAACGAAATTTTGGTTCAGAGTTTCCCGCTTTGTGCCTTGTTGACGCATGAACCACATCCGATTGACGATTGGGCTTTGCTACATGGTGACGTTGGCTTGCCGAATCGCAGCAAGCGTCGTTTGGGACTTCGTTGCTTGATGGGTTTCCCAGGTCTGGGTAAGCCCCTATTAGGTTCGGCTCTGTCTGAGCACAGGTTTGGGACGCAGCGCTGGCGACCTTCGGCAACTGTCACCGAGACTCTGACTCGACTCTCGCACTGACCGACCGATTTTCTACCGACTTCCCGTATGATCAACGGTGAGCCGTCGATTTTCTTTCCTCGCCTCCCCTCATTTACTGTACATCGCTGTGCTGCTGCCTCCACTACGAGACGCATCTCCTCCAAGCTCTGGGATCTTGGGTGGATACTCTCTGGTTTCATTGTGAACCCATTCTGGTTTGGGTGTTTCTGGTTTGGGAGGGACTACAGGCAACATTTGGGAAAACCAAGGCGGCCCCGAGTTTTGGCAGACTTCCTCTTTCACGGTTTTCCCCCCTAAAAAGTTGCCGCATCGCTCCCCTCGAGGTTTCATCGTTCAGACCCTGACCTTCAGGGTCCTCCCTCTATTTCCCGGTTCCTATGTTCAAGTCGCGGCACCCGCTTAGCAGCACCCATTTTCCGTTTTAGGGCCGGCAGTGTGAGCAGCCGTTATGTGCCGGCGACTTCATGCGTCTTCAAGCGAAATAGTTCACTAGGCTGACCATCAGTTCCCTAGTGTCCCGGACCCTCCTCCCACTATTTGCCCGAAGTACCAGAAGGGCCTTGCTCTTCGTCCGAGCAGGCTTTGTTTCGCGCTTCAATCAAGGAATATGGGTTCCGAATGGGCGTGTAGGTAGTTTGGTGATGAACTCAAGGCTTCAATATAGACGACTCTCATTTTAAGACGCGTTCCGATGCGACGTAGAACACTCCGTCACCCACGCTCGTGTTTCCAATCAAGGATGTCTTTACTACCTAGATTCGTTCTTCGCTTTCAACGGCGTATTTCCATCTCTCATCGTCAGATTATTCTCTGCTGAGCTGGCAACACCACCATGAGCGAAGACGAGCCCAGAGGGGCTCCCCAATCTCCCACGTCAGCAATGAAACGTGCGTCGCATTCCTCAACATCCGCCTCTGCCACGTGGCACGCATCCGCGAACCGACACTGCGCGCCGAGTTCGTTCGACACAGAATCCGCAGAGCCCGTCAAGTGTAGCGGCGTCCCGGAGCGGCAACGATCTAGAAACCGCGTGCGCCGAAACAGCAGCTTAAACACCTCGGATCCGTATTCGACGCCCACTAAGAAGGGTACCGGGGGTGTCACTGTGCGATGGGTGTACCTTCCCTTCATCCTCGCTGCAGTCATATGCTTCAGTATAGGAATATACGTTCACAGCTCAGCAACGAGTCAGAAGTTAGAAACCGCGGTATTAGACGGACAGTTACAAGTTGATTTCGGGCAAAGGCAGCTCCAGAGCCGGGAGGTGATAGCAAAAGATGTGACTGTAGCGAAGAGGGACTCGACGCTCGTTAAGAAGTTGCTGAAGCTGAAGGAAGGGTTGATGGAGCGGCGGGCGGCGCAGATGCAAGGCGCGCTGCGATGGCTCACGGAGGTCTCGGCCAATCTGAGACCGCCTCTACTGGCGCTTGTAACGAATCGCCTTGAAAGGGATGCGGAAAACGCGTACTTCTTCACGCTTGGCTCGGGCCTCAAATCACTGGGATACGCCATCGAGGTGGGTTTGGGTGCTGTTAAAATTATGCCGTATGAGACGCGATTCAGGCTGGATGGGGAACTTGGTGGGGCTGAGTGCGGAAAAATAGATTGCGAGTGGTTTGATTTTGGCTCGGGTATACGAATCTCTGGGATAGCCACTGAGCGAGGGTTAGGTGCCGTTTCGTCGATGTAAGAAATACGCAATTCAGGTGGATGGGACACCTCACGGGGTCGATTGCGGAGAACGCGGAAGGGTATCACTACTCGTCTATGCTAAGAGACACAGTTCAGTTAGATGGGGGCACGGGGGTTCGATTCGGAAATAGAAAAGGCTACCTTCCCTCCCCCCTCCCCCTCTCCGCTCCCCTCATCGCTCCCCTGATCACTCCCCTCTCAATCTTCCTACCTCAAATTCTCTGTGTCTCCTCGTCGCGGCAGGTGATAGCGCAGGGAAGAGGGCCCATGGCGGACGCGTTTAATAAACCATTTCTCAAACCCTCCCTTGTGCTCCGCTCCCCACTCATCCTCGTTCCGCGCTTCCTGCTCCTTTTTCCTTTCACGAATACCCCGTGTCCCCTCCTTTTCCTTGCAGGTGATAGCGCAGGGAGGAAGGCCCATGACAGACGCGTCTCAAAGATCCATTTTACTGTTCCTCACCCCCCGTGCTCTGCGCGCGTGTGCTCCATTCCCGACCCCTCCTCGCTCCGCGCGTGTCTGCAGGTGATAGCACAGGAAGGAGGGCCCATGGCGGACGCGTGGAGGGGCCTGGCCGTGCGTGTGACTATAACGGGGCGGCACAACACGAGCCTGAATCACATTGACTGGCTAGAGTACGTCTCCCTGCCCCGCTCATGACTGTCCCCCCACACCCCGTTCGAGTCTGTTCCTCCCCTCCCTGTGATTCTCTTTGTCTTATGAGGTTCCCATCCCAAAACCTGTGTGTGCAACGTTGCGATCCAGTAGTGCCATGTCTAATCCTTGCTGCCGCCCGTGGGACTTCCTTCCCTTGTGCAGCTACCAGGGAGTTTTGGCGAACTCGTTAGAAGCCGCTCCGTTTATTGCCAAGTTGGCCCAAGAGCCGTTCACCGAAGTCCCGCTGGTGTGGGTCGTGCACGAGGCTGACGTGGCGGACAGGCTGGCAGTGTACGAGTCCAGTCAGCATCTGCAGGGGCTGAGGCAGCAGTGGGTTGACCTATTCGCTCGCCCTGACGCCCTTGTATTCCCCTGCATGGCACTCAAAGAGCGATACCAGTCCCTGAACACTGGAAACTTCCTGGTAATTCCCGGCTCGCCCACGTGGACGTACGCCGCGTCCCGATTCGCCGCGTCGCACTCGCCAGAGTCGGCGCGGGCGGCGCGTCAGATCCCGCCTGACACGTTCACTGTAGCAGTGGCGGGAAACCAGAGGGTGTACCAGGGGAAGTGGCGGGAAAGGGCGATGGCCATGCATGCTGTTCACTCATTGGTGGAGCCACCTGGTATGGGGTGGGGGTCTATATGGGGGTGGATGGGACGGGATGTTGGGGACAAGGGAGGAGGGGAAGGCGGAGGAGGAGGGGGAGGAGGGAGAATAGGGGGAGGAGGGGAAGGAGGGGAAGGAGGAAGGGAGCAGAGAGGGGGAGGGAGAGGGAGAGGAGGGGAAGGGAACCAGAAGGAGCGTGAGGGGGTTTCTGCTGTGGAGCGAGCGCACGTGGTGTTCATGGGTAGCTGGAACGGCTCAGGGTCACAGTCGCAGCTGGCGGTGCTTAAGGTGGTAGCGAAGCATCTGCTTATAGCGAATCTGACGTGGGGCGTGGGGGAGGCGGAGGGGGAGGAGGGGATGGGCGTGCTTTTGGGCAGTGATGTGGTGGTGTGGAGCTCGGTGGAGGAGGAGAGGGAGGTGAATCCGCTGCTCGTGAAAGCACTAGCCTTGGGGAAGGTGGTGGTTGCGCCAAAGCTAATCAAGATCCGAGCAGAGGTGAGTCGGTGATGGAGGTGGATGGGTAAGTGGGTGGTGGGTGGGGGGTGGTGGGGTTGGTAGAGGGTGGGTACTGCCTGGGGTGTGTTGGCGAGGCGAGTGATGTGGTGGTGTGGAGCTCGGTGGAGGAGGAGAGGGAGGTGAATCCGCTGCTCGTGAAAGCACTAGCCTTGGGGAAGGTGGTGGTTGCGCCAAAGCTAATCAAGATCCGAGCAGAGGTGAGTCGGTGATGGAGGTGGATGGGTAAGTGGGTGGTGGGTGGGGGGTGGTGGGGTTGGTAGAGGGTGGGTACTGCCTGGGGTGTGTTGGCGAGGCGAGTGATGTGGTGGTGTGGAGCTCGGTGGAGGAGGAGAGGGAGGTGAATCCGCTGCTCGTGAAAGCACTAGCCTTGGGGAAGGTGGTGGTTGCGCCAAAGCTAATCAAGATCCGAGCAGAGGTGAGTCGGTGATGGAGGTGGATGGGTAAGTGGGTGGTGGGTGGGGGGTGGTGGGGTTGGTAGAGGGTGGGTACTGCCTGGGGTGTGTTGGCGAGGCGAGTGATGTGGTGGTGTGGAGCTCGGTGGAGGAGGAGAGGGAGGTGAATCCGCTGCTCGTGAAAGCACTAGCCTTGGGGAAGGTGGTGGTTGCGCCAAAGCTAATCAAGATCCGAGCAGAGGTGAGTCGGTGATGGAGGTGGATGGGTAAGTGGGTGGTGGGTGGGGGGTGGTGGGGTTGGTAGAGGGTGGGTACTGCCTGGGGTGTGTTGGCGAGGCGAGTGATGTGGTGGTGTGGAGCTCGGTGGAGGAGGAGAGGGAGGTGAATCCGCTGCTCGTGAAAGCACTAGCCTTGGGGAAGGTGGTGGTTGCGCCAAAGTTAATCAAGATCCGAGCAGAGGTGAGTCGGTGATGGAGGTGGATGGGTAAGTGGGTGGTGGGTGGGGGGTGGTGGGGTTGGTAGAGGGTGGGTACTGCCTGGGGTGTGTTGGCGAGGCGAGTGATGTGGTGGTGTGGAGCTCGGTGGAGGAGGAGAGGGAGGTGAAGCCGCTGCTCGTGAAAGCGCTGGCGCTGGGGAAGGTGGTGGTTGCGCCAAAGATAATCAAGATCCGAGCAGAGGTGAGAGGGTGGGTGAGTAGGTGGGCGCGTGGGTAAGAGGGTTGGTGCATGGTGGGTGGGGTAGTGGGGTTGGTGAGTGGTCAGTGCTGCTTCTCGAGGGGTGCTGATGGCGAGTGATGTGGTGGTGTGGAGCTCGGTGGAGGAGGAGAGGGAGGTGAATCCGCTGCTCGTGAAAGCGCTGGCGCTGGGGAAGGTCATTGTGGTGCCGAAAGTGATCAAGATCCGAGCAGAGGTGGGTGGGTGGGCGGGTAGGTGGGTGCGGGTGGTGGTTAGGTCGGCGGTGGGTGGGTGCGTGGGTGGGTGGGTGTTTGGTGTTGTGTCTCGTGGGGTGTGCTGATGGTGATGCGGTGGGAGGAGAGGGAGGTGAATCCGCTGCTGGTGAAAGCGCTGGCGCTGGGGAAGGTGTTGGTTGCACCGAAGCTGATCAAGATTCGAGCAGAGGTGAGGGGTTGGGCTTGTGGGTAGGTGAATCCGTTGCTGGTGAGAGGATGGGTGGTTCGGTGGGTGGTGGGTGGTTTGTGGTGGTGAGTGGTGGGTGGTGGTGGTGAGTGGTGGGTGGTGGTGGTGAGTGGTGGGTGGTGGTGGTGAGTGGTGGGTGGTGGTGCTGGGTGGTGAGTGCTGCATCTTAGTGGTGAGGCGCTGCTTGCTAGTAGGTGCCGCACCTTTTGCTCCAACCCCATTTCCTTCGTCTCGCCTTCCTACTCTTCCTCCCATTCAGGTCCCCCACTGATCCCACTCCTCCCACTCCCCCCCATCCTCACCCCCCCTCACAGTTGACGAATGGCGTGCATGCTCTTTTCTACGACCCCGGGAAGGAAGCTTCCATGAAACAGGCGCTCCTTAAAGCTGCGTCGCTTTCCCAGTCTGACGCGCTCGCCATGTCAGCATCGGGCCGCGAGCTCTCATTGGCCCTGGGCGCGCGCAGCGTGGTTAAGGAGGTAGCGAGGTTGCTAGAACGGGTAATGGAGGGGGGCGTGGGGATTAGAAGCCCTCGGCCGGCGGACTGGCTGTGGTGGGATAAGAAGCAGGCGTGGATGTGGGGCGAGGAGGGCGGTTGGGGATGGGGAGAGGGAGGGGAGAAGGGAGGAGACGGAGGAGTGGGAGGGAGAGGGGAAGGAAGAGAAGGAAGGGGAGAGGGAGGAGGAGGGAGGGGAGAGGGAGGACAGGGGACAGGAGGCGGTGGGACGAAGAGGGGTGGGGAGGAGGAGGAAGAGGGCGAGGGAGTGGATCTAGGTGGGAGTGTGGAGGAAGGGGAGGCTGTGGTGGTGAAGGGCGGGGAGAGTGGGGGGATTGGAGGGAGGAAGGTGATACTAAGGGAAGGTGGCTATAAGGGGCGAAGGACGGGGTTGAAGGAGGGAGGCAAGGAAAGGGAGGGCGGTAAGGAGGAAGCAGTGGGGATGGGAGGGGAAGAGAGAGGGGACGTGGCAAGGAGTGATGGGAGGAGCAGTGGGAGTGTGAGGAGTGAGGGAGGGAGTGCGGGCAGGAGAGAGGGAGGGAGTGAGAGGAGTGTGGTGTTGCAGATGGAGGAGGAGTGGGAGGAGTTGAAGAGAAGGGAAGCGGCATTGCTGATGGGAGACAAAACGAGGGACAGCATGCTCATGGCCGAGATGGATGGGGCTGAGGAGGCGGTGGGAGGCGGGTTAGCGGGTTCTGAGGCGCCTCAAAAGGCGTTGCTGATGGGAGACAAAACGAGGGACAGCATGCTCATGGCCGAGATGGATGGGGCTGAGGAGGCGGTGGGAGGCGGGTTAGCGGGTTCTGAGGCGCCTCAAAAGGCGTTGCTGATGGGAGACAAAACGAGGGATAGCATGGTCATGGCTGAGATCGATGGTGCAGCAGCAGCAGTAGGAGGAGCAGCGGGAGGAAGGGCTAGGGGCGACTTAGCTAATAAAGCAGCAGCCACAGGAGGAGGGGTAGTGGGGCCAGGGACGGCGGAGGCAGAGGGTGCTGCAGCTTCAGCTGCTGCCACTGCTACTGTGGGGGGAGAGGGCAGCGCAGGAGAGAGGACAGGAGGAGGAGCAGCAGCAGCAGGAGTGCCTGAGCTGAAAGCACCGGAGGAGCAAGTGGAAGCTGATATTGTAAGTCTGTTCTTCCAATGACATCCCAGGGGAACGTCGGATAGGATAGGACGTACATTCCACGTGATATGACGACCCGCATGTATTTACTGATGACATTCCACAAGACATGACATCCCACGTGGCATCCCACGTGGCATCCCAAACGTCCTAGAAAACGTTTCCGATAATCACATGACACACATGTGAGTAGTCTGAAAACCTGAGGCTGAGTCTTGGCCTTCTCCCGCCCGCCAGTTGTGAGACCGCAGAGAGCGAGCAAAAGGAGGTGAAGGTGGGGGTGAAGCGAGCAACATCCAAATCCAAACCACTGTTCTCTACCTCCTTTCCCTCCCCCACCCACGCCAGCTGTGGGATCGCAGGGAGCACGAGTCGCTGTCGTGGGAGGAGGTGAAGGTGGGCGTGAAGCGAGCAAATGTGGTAACCCAATCACTATTCTCCACCTTCTTTCCCCCTTTCACAATGCCAGTTATGGGATCGCAGGGAGCACGAGTCCCTCTCATGGGAGGAGGTGAAGGTGGGGGTGAAGCGGCCGGAGAGGAGTGGGCTGCATGAGAGGGACGACGGCGACCTCGAGCGATCAGGCCAGCCCATCTGCACCTGCTCCGTGCCCTAACCCCTCCACCCCTCTCCCCTCTCCCCTCAATGCCCTCCCTTCCCTCGCTCCCTTGCTCTCTCCCCTCTCCCCTCTCCCCTTTTCCGGTCGCTCCCCCTCTCGCCCCTCTCCTCCCCAACACTCAGCTGTGGGACCGCAGGGAGCACGAGTCGCTGTCATGGGAGGAGGTGAAGGTGGGGGTGAAGCGGGCGGAGAGGAGTGGGCTGCATGAGAGGGACGACGGCGACCTGGAAAGATCAGGCCAGCCCATCTGCATCTACGAGCCCTACACTGGGAATGGATCCTGGCCGTTCATTCATGACAAGGATACCCTCTACCGTGGGGTTAGTCTGGTGAGTGTGCACTGAGTGCAAGCAGCCTGCCTTGGATTCTATGCAGTCTGTTTGAGGCACTTCAAGAATTGGTCTGATGGATCCTGGCCGTTCATTCACGACAAGGACACCCTGTACCGTGGGGTTAGCCTGGTGAGTGCAGCTGGGTGCAAGTGGGATTCCAGAAGCTTTTGAGTCCTTTCCTACGCACCTCCTTGGAGTGATTCTTGGCAGGGACACGTTGTATTGTGTTGTGGAGTTGCCTTGGTGCGTGAGTGCACGTATGCAACTGAATTGACGTATGAGTCAACGTATGGGCCGGGCCGCCTCCTCGTGCTCTCCTCCCCACATTCCCGTTCCCCTGCTCCCCCCTCTCCCCCACCCCAACCCCCTTTTCCACTTCAGTCTCGTTCCTCCCGCCGCCCCAACCTGTATGATGACGTGAATGCATGGGCGCGCCTGCCCATGCTCGCCTCGCCCTACTACCGCGACGTGCTGTGCGACTTTGCAGCCATGCTGGCCATCAACTACCACATAGACCGAGTCCACAGGAACCCCTGGATCGGCTTCCAGCCGTGGCGGGTTCAGCTCCCCTTGCTCTCCTCCCCATGCTGCCACTACCCTACTCACCTCCCTCCATCCTTTTCCCCTCTCCCCCACCCCATTCCCTCTCCTTCCCCACCCCACCCCCCCTCTCCTCAGTCGCGCTCCTCCCGCCGCCCCAACCTGTATGATGATGTCAACGCGTGGGCGCGTCTCCCCATGCTCGCCTCGCCCTACTACCGCGACGTGCTCTGCGACTTTGCAGCCCTACTGGCAATCAACTACCGCATAGACCGAGTCCATAGGAACCCCTGGATCGGCTTCCAGCCCTGGCGGGTCCGGGCGGAGAATGTGGGGTTGAGTAGTAAGGCGGAAAAGGCGCTGGTTGGGACTATAGAGAGGGGGACTGTAGCGGATGCGGTAGTGTACTGGGTGAGTACTGTAGACCAGGTGGAGATTCATAGGGATCCGAGGAGTGCGGCGCTGGGGGAGGATGGGGAGACGGTGGGGGGAGGGGGAGGGGGAGGGGGAGGGGGAGGGGGAGGGGGAGGGGGAGGAGGAGGGGGAGGGGGAGGGGGGAGGGGGAGGGGGAGGTGGGGGAGAGCATGGGGGGAAGGGGGATGGGGGAGGGGAGACGGGGGGAGGATCGGGGAAGATGCGTGTTGGGGGGTTGGAGGAGCGAGCAGGGGATGACTTTTGGACGACATGTGACATGATGAACCGTGGTAACTGCAGGTGAGGCGGGGTTGTTACATGATGCATGCATGGTGGATGTGGCGATTGTTACATGGGCAGAACTGCAGGTGGCACATAAATGGGATGTGACTTTTTGACGACCTGTGACATGATGAACCGCGGTAACTGCAGGTGAGACGACTGTCACATTAATATTTCGAATGTTGAACGGACGGAAATACAGGTAGAAGATGGATTGATGCATGCCTCGTACTCCAGTGCTGACATTTCTCCTTCTTTACTCCTTGCAGGGCTGCATTTCTGGAGGCGATGCGGCTGGTGTACAGCCTGCCGTCCAACTGGACCACACTCCCGCCCATGCCCACTGGAGGAACGCACCTGGCCCTCCATGCTCTCATGTTGATGTAACTCCCTCCTTTACCCCCTACAGAGCTGCATTCCTTGAGGCCATGAGGCTGGTGTACAGCCTGCCGTCCAACTGGACCACTCTGCCGCCCATGCCCACCGGAGGGGGTACCTGGTCTGCCATGCATGCATGGGCCATGCCAGCACACAACTTCGTGGAGTTCATGCTGTTTGCACGGTGAGTCATGGGGTGGGGGAAGTAGGATGGGTGGGATACGGCCAGAGGAGCAGGGATGGTTGGGAGTAGGAGAGTGCAAGATTGAGAGGGTTTGCCATGCATGCATGGGCCGTGCCATCCCATAGCTTTGCGGAGTTCGTGCTGTTTGCTCGGTGAGACAAGGGGTGCGGGGAGGAGAGCAGGGGGGAGGATACCGACAGTATGTTTGTTGACGCTTTGGATGTGAAGTTCTACCAGAGACATGCGGGCCTTGGCGTGGTGACATATACATATACACCAACTGTCAACCTCCCTTTTCTGCCGTGCCCCCTACCTCCTTCGCCTTTGATGCCCGGACCGACCAGCATGTTCGTGGACGCTCTGGATGTGAAGTTCTACCAGAGACACGTGGCCCACGGCACATGCCCTTTGGCCCAGAGCCATGCAGAGGTGAGACAGTGGCATGCCAGGATTAGGAAGGGCGTACGAGTAGAGGCATTAGGTGAGGGATTAGAGTTGTGCAAAACATATGGCACGTGCTTTCCCATGGCCAATCAAAGGTGAGTTTTTGGTACTAAGTTTTTGGCCTGGAGACCTGCAGTACAGGGCATGTGGTGCGATAAGAGGTGCTGCTTCTGAACCCCCACACCAGCACTCTTAAAGAGAGCACCTTATTTCCGCCCGCTCTAAATCCCTTTCTCCCCAAACAGGAGCGGCATTGCTACTGCCGACTGCTAGACCGGCTTGTCAATGTGTGGGCATACCACAGTTGAAAGAGAATGCTGCTTCTGAACCCCCACACTGGCACTCTCAAAGAGCAACACCCACTCCCCTCCTCACCGGCTCCATACCCCCTTCACCCCCCAACAGGAGCGGCACTGTTACTGCCGACTGCTCGACCGGCTTGTGAACGTGTGGGCATACCACAGCAGAAAGAGAATGCTGCTTCTCAACCCCCACACGGGCACTCTTAAAGAGCAACACCCGGTTCCCACGCGCTCTAAGTCCCGCTCCCGGCGCGCCTGGTTCCAGTGGTTCTCCCGCCCGGCACTTAAAGCCATGGATGAGGAACGTGCAGAAGAGACGGACGACCCCGCCCACGCGATCAACGGGCGGCGGTGGCTTTGGCCTCATCTGGGGGAGGTGCAGTGGCAGGGGTCGAACGAGCGGGATAGGATGTTTAGACTGTGGCAGAAGGGGCAGAAGGAGAGGAGGAAGAAAGAGAGACTGGCGCGGATGAGAGTGAGATACAAGCAGGAGGCGTTGGGAGGGCCCGTGGTGAAGACATTGGGGGAGGTTGGGGGTAAGGGTTTGGGGAGGAATGGGAGCGTTGTGGAGGGTGATGGGGAGGAGGGGAAGAGTGGAAGTAGTGGCAGCGGCGGCACTGACAGGGGTAGTGGTGTAAGCAAGAAGAGTAGCAGCAGCAGTAGCAGTGACACAGCTCAGGAGGAGGGCAAGGAGGACAGTGACACAAGGTGACGAGAGCATCGGAACGTGGGACAATAGAAGACACGTGGACCAGTGGTTACTGTACCAGCTAGATCTACTAATTTTACGTTACATGGCCGTTGCCCGCAATATGTGCCACAAATATTATTGATGGTGCGTAGGTGGTGTGCATGTCATTCAATTGTTAGGTTAGGATGTTAATAAATCTTGTAGTCCAGTGCACATACACAAGCAAATCATGCTCATTTTTTTTTCCTGATTTGCATTACTGTCGCTGGGATGTATCTTATTGAACTCTAAGCTGCAAGAAGCTACAGTGTCAATTATTTCCCTAACATACAGCAAGCACGCTACCAATGATGTCACATGGAACAACACTGGACACGTGGATCCGACTGAATGGAACAATTTGATTGTGATTGCATGTGGAAGAATCAAAATGTGGCATAGTGGAATGGGTTGTTGTGCCGTTGAATTGAATCCATGTGACTACTAAGTAAGGGCTCCTGGGGGGATGCAATCTTGGTTCTTCCGAGCTCAAAGGCCAAGGCGGCAGATTGGATTCGATTTGATCAGCTTCAAGTCAACCTGGAGCGGTGGGGAGTGGTGATGGGGGGTGATGAGGAGGGTCAGAAGGGCAGTGTGAGGAGGAGGTGAAACGTACATGAGTGAGAAGTAGCCTCAAGTGGATTGTCGGGGTTCTAGGGTATGGTTTTAGCTGAAACATTGACACCTAGGTTATAAGGAACTGGGATAGAGAGTGACAAACTTGCGGGGGGAGAGGGAGGGGGGGGGGGAGTGGGGAAGGGGTGGAAGGGGGGGAAACGAAAGTACAAACAAGCAATCAAACAAATAACGAATCTCCAGGCACACTCAGCTTAGAAGATTGACCAAGCCTCTCCCCCCTACTGTCCCTCGTCTCACCTTATGGCCAAAGAGATCACGGATGTTGTCAATGTGATACAGGATCATAGTGGGTCTGCTTGTAACGGGGATAAGCAACAGGTAGGGAAAGGAAGCGGACAATGATTAGAGAGGGTTAGAGTGCAAGAATTCTGGTATGTTGAGCGAGAACAGTACTTACAGCTTAAAAAAAAAAAAAAAAAAAAAAAAAAAACCACAATGCTGGCCTTCTAACCAGAAGTGGAGGTGAAGCGGGGTGGGGACAGGGGGGGGGGGGGAGTGGAGTGACTTTTGAGTCGACTCAAAAGTCACCAGAAGTGGAGGTGAAGCGGGGTGGGGACAGGGGGGGGGGAGTGGAGTGGGACGGACAGGGCGGATGTTACGTCCCTGTTTAGTGCATGTTCATGTGCTTCAGTGCATTGAATTGGTGCCTCTACTCCTCACCGTTCAAGGGACAGCCCCCAGGCAATGACAGAGACGTCAGGGGGCAATCTTATTGGCTGGAGCATCCCATGATAACAACTCTAGTCTAGTTTCAGTGCAATTCAGTGCGGTTGAATGAGTCCTCACCATTCAAGGGACAGCCCCAGGCGATGACAGAGACGTCAGGGGGGCAATCCCATGGGCTGCAGCAATCAGTTTTAGTGCGATTCAGTGCGGTTTGGTGCGGTTGAGCGAGTGCTCACCGTTCAAGGGACAGCCCCAAGCAATGACGGAAACGTCAGGGTGGAGGCCCATTGGCTGGAGCACTTGTGGCTCATTTAAGGCCTAGTCCCGGCTCGGTTTAGTGCGTTTCCAAGCACTTCAGTGTGGTCTAGTGCGGTTAAATGAGTGCTCACCGTTCAAGGGACAGGCCCCAGGCAATGACAGAGACGTCAGGGGGGCAATCCCATGGGCTGCAGCAATCAGTTTTAGTGCGATTCAGTGCGGTTAGGTGCGATTGAGCGAGTGCTCACCGTTCAAGGGACAGCCCCCAGGCAATGACAGAGACGTCAGGGGGGAGGCCCATTGGCTGGAGCACTTGTGGCTCATTTAAGGCCTAGTCCCGGCTCGGCTTAGTGCGTTTCCAAGCACTTCAGTGTGGTCTAGTGCGGTTAAATGAGTGCTCACCGTTCAAGGGACAGCCCCAAGCAATGACGGAAACGTCAGGGGGGAGCCCCATTGGCTGCAGCACTAGTGGTCTGACCTTTGGCCTAGCTCCAGTGCCATTCAGTGTGGTTTAGTGCGATTGAGTGGGGTCTGTCGTCTCACCGTTCAAGGGACAGACCCCAGGCAATGACGGAAACGTCAGGGGGGAGACCCATTGGCTGCAGGATTTGTGGCCTAGTTCCAGCGCGATTCAGTGCGGTTTAGTGCGGTTGAATAAGTGTGGCATCTCACCGTTCAAGGGACAGCCCCCAGGCAATGACAGAGACGTCAGGGGGGAGACCCATTGGCTGCAGCATTTCAGGGCGGAACATGCCACTGTTGCCCACCTCCACCCACTTCTTCAGCTGCTCGTGATAGCTGCGGTGGTGGGGAGAGAGGGGGAAGGGAGAGCGGGAAGCGGAAAGAGGAAGTGGGGAGACGTCAGGGGGCAGTCCCATTGGCTGGAGCATCTCAGGCCAGAACATGCCGCTGTAGCCCACCTCCACCCGCTTCTTCAGCTGCTCGTGGAAACTGCGGTGGTGGGGGGGGGTCGCAGGAACAGTAAACGCATGAATGTTCAGCTGTGAAAGACGAGAAGAAGCATCCCTTTGGCGGAACATGCCGCTGTAGCCCACCTCCACCCACTTCTTCAGCTGCTCGTGGTAGCTGCGGTGGTGGTGGGGGGGCGAAAAGGGGGAAGGGTATGCAGCTGAAAGATACGGAGAATGGAAGAGGCAATAAGACACATGCCGCTGTTGCTCACCTCCACCCACTTCTTCACCTGCTCGTGATAGCTGAGGTGATGGTGGTGGGTGTGTGAGGGGGGGGGGAGGGAAAGATATGGAAGAAGGGAGGAGGCGATAAAGACATGCCGCTGTTGCTCACCTCCACCCACTTCTTCAGCTGCTCGTGGTAACTGATGCAGTGGTGGTGGTGGTGGTGGGGGGGGAGAGGTGGTGGTGGGGGGGGAGAGGGGGAAGGGCAGGTTAGGTTGACAGGTACGGAAAAGGGTAAGAGTCGGGGCGGAACATGCCGCTGTAGCCCACCTCCACCCACTTCTTCAGCTGCTCGTGATAACTGCGGTGGTGGGGAGTGGTGGAGGGAGGAGCACATGCAGTTGAAAGATATGGAAAAAGGGAAGAGGCGATAAGAGACATGCTGCTGTTGCCCACCTCTACCCACTTCTTCAACTGCTCGTGATAGCTGTAGTATTGTTTTTTTGTGGGGGAAAGGGGCTGGACGGGGGTGAAAGGGGGGGATGAATTTAAAGGTATGGAAGACGGGAAGAAGGGTTAAGACACATGCCACTGTTGTTGCCCACATGGTAGTTGCTCACATGGTAGTGAGGGACTGATGGGTGGAGGTAGTAAAACACGTGAAGGTTCAGTTTAGAAAGGGAAATGATAATGAGGGTGATCATGTGGTGAGACGGTAGAGAGAGCACCCGATCGTACATTGCCCTGCAGTCTCACCTGGAAACTCACCTTGCCTCAATAAAGTCAACCCTCGAAACACGCCTGACGACCATCCTGAGAAACCACCTGACGACCATCCTGAGACTCACCTGAAGATTTCCATGCTGGGTTCAGTGTAGGGGTTGTATGCCGGCTTGAAACGAATGCGAGTGATGCCTGATGAGGGTTGAAAAGGCACGGTGGAGAGGGGGGCAGGGGAGAGTGAGGGCCGTGGTGCAGAGAGGGTGAGGGCAAGACGGCAGCAGATTGAAAGGTAACGGTGAGTGGAGGGAAAGGTGAGAGAAATGGGAAGAGCGGAAGGTGTAACAGTGCAGCACAGATAGAGGTACATACATATGATATGAGCACGTTCAACACTAACATGTATGTACCTATGTACATACATACAACACTCTAGGTTCTCAGATTACCGAGCCTGGCAACAAACTGGTTGAGCACGCCTATGAGGTCTCCCCATATGTTTTAAAGAATTCTAAAAAACACCCTGAAATTCAGAGGTCGGGGAAATACCGAGCCTGACAGAGGAGAGAGGCTTGGGCATTACCGAGTCTGGCAAAAAACTGGTTGAGCACGCCTATGAGGTCCCCGAGAGTGGTGCCTCGGTCGCAGATCACACCTGCAAGCGGAGGGAGTGAACAGGAGAGAGGATGGAGGGAGGAGGGAGGTGGGAGGAGGGAGGAGGGAGGGGGGAAGAGGGAGGAGGCGAAGACAGACATAGGTCAGGGGAGAAACTATATATAAAAAAAAGGGTTTCTAAACATGTGCTTCTGAGACGTCTCCATCCAATCCCCCCAAACCCAGCCCCACCCCCAGATGCCACACCTCCCACCACACCACCGTTGCACACCCATCCTAACCCCACTCCCAGCCCCAGACACCGCCCCAACCCCAACCCCAACGCACCTTCTATCTGGTGAAATTCCGCCAGGTGCGTCCTGTCCACCGCCTCGTTCCGGAACACCCTGTCAATGGAGAAGTACTTGCGCTTCCCCTTCCCCCAACCAACCGCAACCCCACTCCCACCTCACCTTCAATCTGGTGGAACTCTGCCAGGTGAGTCCGATCCACCGCCTCATTCCGGAACACCCGGTCAATGGAGAAGTACTTGCGCGGCTGGAAGCCCTCCTTCCTTCTCCCCTCCCCCCACCCATCCCAGCCCACCTTCGATCTGGTGGAACTCCGCCAAATGAGTCCTGTCCACCGCCTCATTGCGGAACACCGGGTCAATGGAGAAGTACTTGCGCGGCTGGAAGCCCTCCTTCCTTCTCCCCTCCCCCCACCCATCCCAGCCCACCTTCAATCTGGTGGAACTCCGCCAAATGAGTCCTGTCCACCGCCTCATTCCGGAACACCCGGTCAATGGAGAAGTACTTGCGCGGCTGGAAGCCCTCCTTCCTTCTCCCCTCCCCCCACCCATCCCAGCCCACCTTCAATCTGGTGGAACTCCGCCAAATGAGTCCTGTCCACCGCCTCATTGCGGAACACCCGGTCAATGGAGAAGTACTTGCGCGGCTGGAAGCCCTCCTGCGCCAGCTGGTACAGCATGCGGGAGGACACCCAGCCCACCCACCCAACCGTTGCAAACCCTTCTTAACCGCCCACTCCTAACGACCCACCTTCAATCTGGTGGAACTCTGCCAGGTGCGTCCGATCCACCGCCTCATTCCGGAACACCCTATCAATTGAGAAGTACTTGCGCGGCTGAAAGCCCTCCTGCGCCAGCTGGTACAGCATGCGGGAGGAAACAGCGGTCGTGTGTGTGCGCAGCAGGTTCTTCTCCGCTTCAGCCCGCTTCCAGTCGTATCCATAACCGGTTGAGCCATGACCCCCCGTTTCGTGCATGGTTTTCACACGTTGGAGGTAGTCTTCTGGAAGCTGCTTGGTGGCAGCAGGGGCTGCAGCAGGGGAAGTGGGGGAGAAAGGCACACGGCAGGGGTGTGAGCAGAGCAGGAAAAGAGATGGGGGAGAAGTGGGGCCTTGACGACACCGCCGTGGTGTGTGTGCGCAGCAGGTTCTTCTCGGCCTCGGCTCGCTTCCAGTCGTATCCGTACCCGGTTGACCCGTGCCCGCCCGTCTCGTGCATCGTCTTCACTCGCTGCAGGTAGTCCTCTGGCAGCTCTTTTGTCGCAGCGGGGGCTGCAGGTGCGCATATGAGGGAAGGGGGGGGGGGGAGGGGGAGGATGGAGAAGTGGAGGTTGGTGGGAAGGAAGGGAGGCTGAAAGCCCTCCTGCGCCAGCTGGTACAGCATGCGGGAGGACACCGCCGTGGTGTGTGTGCGCAGCAGGTTCTTCTTTGCTTCCGCCCGCTTCCAGTCGTATCCATAACCAGTGGAGCCGTGCCCTCCTGTCTCGTGCATCGTCTTCACGCGCTGCAGGTAATCCTCTGGAAGCTCTTTGGTGGCCGCAGGGGCTGCAGCAGGGGTGAGGAACAGGGGAGCAGTGGCGCATGATAGCAGTGCAGGCAGGGAGAGAAAGGCATGGGGAAGAGGGGGAGAGAGGGAGACCGCCGTCATGTGTGTGTGTGCGCAGCAGGTTCTTCTCTGCCTCTGCCCGCTTCCAGTCGTACCCGGTTGACCTGTGCCCGCCTGTCTCATGCAACGTTTTCACGCGCTGCAAGTAGTCTTCTGGGAGTTCCTTGATCGCAGCGGGGGCTGCCGCCTGCAGGTGGGCGTATGGGGGGAAGGAGGTTTGGTGGGGAAGAGGGGGATGATGGGAAGGGAAAGGAATCCTTCTGTTGGCCTGTGCCTCCACATCTCATGCATCGTCTTCACTCGCTGCAGGTAGTCTCTGGAAGCTCTTTGGTGGCAGGCAGCAGGGGTTGCAGCAGGGGTGACGACCACTCCCCTTTTCCATGTGTTTGTTACATCTAGCAAGGTACTGTACCTGTGTGTCCTAACAAGGCACCAAACCTGTGCTGTGCTGTGAAGATGGTACTGTACCAGTGAGGAAGAAGGTATCATGTGAGTCCCTGGCGGGGTGCTGCTGTGGCTGGAAGAGCGCGTCAAAATTCCAGAAGCTGCTCTCCACAAAGTTGTTGGTCGGCATCTCTTGGAAGCTAGCGAGAGGGGGAAAGGGGAGCAGGAAAGAAAAGACGGGAACGGGGAGGTTAAGGCCTGGAAACGTGCCAGTGCATGCAGTGTCGTCTACACTCACCCGAGGAAGATCTTGCGTTTTGAGACCTCTCAAAACACTTTTATTATCACGTGTCAGTGCTTGCAATGCCGTCTACACTCACCCGAGGGATGAAGAAGTGTTTTGAGACGTCTCAAAACACTTCTTCATTCACATGCCGTCTACACTCACCCGAGGAAGATCTTGCGGAACTGAGCGCGCACTTTGAGCAGCGGGTGCAGGTGCCCCCCTTCTGTAGGCAGACAACCTATAATTCCACGTGACACCTAACACATAAGCAGTGCATGAACTGCCACTTCATCACCCTTCCCTTCCACGTCACACTCACTCACCCCATCTCGAGGAAGATCTTGCGGAACTGGGCGCGCACTTTCAGTAGCGGATGGCCTCCTTCTGTGGGGAAACCATTATATGAGACGCCTCCTCAAATAGGCGGTGCATGCACTGCTGTTTGCTCTCCCATCTCTTCACGTCACACTCACCCCATCTCGAGAAAGATCTTGCGGAACTGGGCGCGCACTTTCAGCAGTGGGTGCAGGTGACCTCCCTCTGTGGGCAGTCCCAAGGCATTGAAGTTGTACGGCTTGAACTCCTCTGTCTTCCATGCGCCGCTGGGGAGAGGGGAGGGGGGGCATGTGAGAAGGTGGATTCAGTATGTGCGAGTATGCAGGCCCCTGTCCGTTGGCAGACCCAGTGCGTTGAAGTTGTACGGCTTGAACTCCTCCGACTTCCATGCTCCACTGGGGAGAGGGGAGGGATATTGAATGACAGGAAGGGAGCAGGAAAGGGGAGGATACAGAGAGTGGTAAGGGAGGAGGGTGAGGTGCTTTCAGCGAGCAGTGAGTGCAGGTGGCCCCCCTCCGTGGGCAGACCCAAGGGCGTTGAAGTTGTACGGCTTGAACTTCTCTGTCTTCCATGCGCCACTGGGGAGAGGGGAGGGGGGGCATGTGAGAAGGTGGATTCAGTATGTGCGAGTATGCAGGCCCCTGTCCGTTGGCAGACCCAGTGCGTTGAACTCGTACGGCTTGAACTCCTCCGTCTTCCATGCGCCGCTGGGGAGAGGAGAGGGGCATGGGGAAGGAGGGAGTAAGGGGAGGGGAGGGAACGGAAGGGGGAAAAAAGTGCATCAGAGGGAATGCAAGGGGTGCAGGTGGCCTCCCGCGGTGGGCAGACCCAGTGCATTGAAGTTGTACGGCTTGAACTCCTCTGTCTTCCATGCGCCACTGGGGAGAAGAAATGGAAATGGGGGGAACGGAGCAAGAAGGGGGCCGGGCCGGGGAGGGACAGGGGGACAGAGAGCGTCAGAAGGGGGGCACTGGGTGGCCTCCCTCCGTGGCTCACACGCATACGCACGCACAGACATGCACACAGCGAAGCATTACCGCTCTGCACCACTCTCTGGATCATCTCTCTGGTGAGGTCGGTGGCAGCCTTCTTTTCCAGGGCGAACTTGGCTCCCTTGCCCAGCGCGTACGTGCTGCCCTTCCAGTCAACTCAAAAGCACAGGGCCGCTCTGTACCGCTCTGTAGTGTTCTGTTACCACTCTGCACCGCACAGCACCACTTCACACACCTCTGAATCATCTCTCTGGTGAGGTCCGTGGCGGCCTTCTTCTTCTCCAGGGCGAACTTGGCCCCCTTGCCCAGTGCGTACGTGCGCCACACGCTGGGCGACACTAGCTTGCGCTTCTTGTGTAGATAGTCCAGGTCGGGCGTGGGGAGGGTCTGGGGGGAAAGGGGGAGGGGAGGGGGTGAGTGAGAGAGGAACGAGAAAAAGGGCCTTGCCCAGTGCGTACGTGCGCCACACGCTGGGCGACACTAGCTTGCGCTTCTTGTGTAGATAGTCCAGGTCGGGTGCGGGGAGGGTCTGAGGGGAAAGGCGGAGGGGGGATGAGGGAGGAATGGGTAGCATGAGCGAGGGAGGAACGAGAAACAGGCCCTTGCCCAGCGCGTACGTGCGCCACACGCTGGGCGACACTAGCTTGCGCTTCTTGTGTAGATAGTCTAGGTCGGGTGTCGGGAGGGTCTGGGGGGTAAGGGGGAGAAAAGGGTGTGGGGGAGGGAGAATTTGTTCTGAGTTTTGCCACACGGTGGAGGCTACCAGCTTGCGCTTCTTTGAGTAGATAAAAGGGGGAATGGGCGGAAGACGGGGGTGAAAGGGTCCAGGGGAAGCGGAAGTGGTGAGGACACAAGGCGGGAAGATGGGGTGGGGTGGGGTGGGGTGGGGTGGGGTGAGGTGGAAGGTGGGTGGAGTGGGGGGGAAGATGGGTGGGAGATGACAGGGTCCGGAAACAACCGCATTGTAACAAGCAGGCGGTAACCACATTGTGCATTCGCCAACCCAGACAATGTGGTCTGTGACTCAAACGAGGGAATACCACACTGATCGTCCCCGAATGTTTCAGATGCAATTGGCATACAACAAATCCTCTCGTTAGCCTCCTCTCACCCCCCACACCTCATTCTTTCCCTCCCCCTCGTCCTCCCTCCTCCCCTTCCCCGTCGCCCTCCTTCCTCCCCTTCCCCTCTCCCCCTCCCTCTCCCCTTCAGATTCAGCTTCCCCCTCCCGCTCCCCCCTCTCACCTCTCCTTTGCTCAGGCTCGTCAGCAGCCGCTGCACTTTATCCTCGATAGAAGTCACCTTCCGCTGAACCGAGGGACCCCCCTCGCCCTTGCTTATAGCGAGCCACTTATTCGCCATGGCCTGCTTCATGCCGATATCCGCCACCGCGCCGAGGGATTTCTTCAGCGCGTCCAATGGGATGCCGCCATCTGGCACGGCGTTGAACACCTGCGCTTCGGGCGAGCCCGTGTCGAGATACCCCTTCGCCTCGTCTGTGAGCGTCCATGATTGGTGCTCGATCTCCTGTTATAAGAACGGACGGTACAGGAACAGTCTTACATTTGAGTTAGAGAGCGAGTTCAGAACCCCGTTAAAAGCTAACCAGTGGCGCTAAACTATTGTGAAGCGACAGACTTAGTAAAGTCGACCAGACTTAGTGCAACTTAGTAATAACTAGCAGATTCGACGAACCTCGGCCACGATCATCTCGTATGCGAGAAGGCTCTTGATGGTTCCGACTAGCGCGCCGTGATCCACGCCGGCGCTCGCGGCCCATTCGCCGGAGTCTTTAATCTCCCCCCCTTCGTTCAGCGCCCGCAAGAGCCGCTCTTCGACGCCTTCCATCGCACTGCGGCGAGAATGCAGCTGTAACGGAGGGTGATTAAGCGAACGGACACTATGATTTAGAGAGTAGTCTTACCTAGCGTGAGCTGAAGCGTCTATGATGTAGCCTCGTAAAATAAGAGGCGAAGAGGAAGGGACAGGAGAAACTCCCACGGCAATATCGATGTTGGGGGGAGTGGGTTTGTTCTTATAGCGAAGGCCGATTTGTGTGATTGATCAGATCCTATGGATTCGCCAGCTCCCATGCGGTTTTCCTTCGTAACACATTATTTTCCCGAGTTTACTGTAGTAAGCGTACACTATCAAAAGAGAGCTTCAGGCGCTCAACTGAGTGTCGCTTGTTCTGTTCAATCACAACGGTTGAGTACGATGCTGTGCAATGTTAAGGCGTTTCCAGACCACCGCACTGAATCGCTGCTACTCCTAGCGATTTCTGTTCCTCCTGTGCATCCCTGCCTCCTGTGTTGTTTGCTTCGAATTCACGTCTCCATTCCTCCATTCCTTCACTCCCCAAATCCCGCCATTGTTCACTCCTCACACCTGTATCACCAGCACCCTTCCACCGCATTTTGGCGTGATCTTCCAATCTGTCGCGCGAGTCGCGCGATTTAGCAACCTTTCTCCATTCGGGATGGCGACTCTCGCTTGTCCCGTCTCTCTGCGAAGCTCGCGAAATCTGCGAAGTTACTCAGAATGCCATGATCGCCGCCTGAATGCCGTCACCGCAATTCACGGAAACCTCGCCATTCCGAACGCGTCTTGCGCACGCGCGAGCGGCGGCGCCCAATATTCCAGCATTCGCTTCCAGGCTAGGGCTGGCGTTGAGGAGTGCATGCAACGATCCGCGTTGTTAGCTTCCCCACCGAAAACCACAGGCTTTATAAATTCGTCGATTACAGGAAACGGGCTGCGGGGATTCGGTTCGTCTCCCGCCTGTATCCAGGGCCGGAATCAAACCACGCAGGGACTTCATACGCGTTATAGACACGGCCCGGGTTTCCATACAAGATCCTTCTTTTGGAAACAGGGGTCGGATGGGGAGACGGATAAAGCGGGAGATGCGGAGAAGGCGGCGGAGGAAGCGGAGAAGGAGAGAGAGGCGAAGGCGAAGGAGGAGGAGGAGAGGAGGAATAAGCTGGTCATCAGCATATTCGTTGACTTGCTGGGGTGAGCCTGCTGCTCCTCTGCTCCCCTACTCCCCTGCTCCCCTGCTCCTCTTCTCCTCTGCCCCTCTGCTCTTCTGCTCCTCTGCTCCCTGCTGTATTGGAATCTCTTTTGAGTATTTTCACAGGAGGAGAGGCGGAATAAGCTGGTCATCAGCATATTCGTTGACCTGCTGGGGTGCGCCTGCTGCTCAGTCTTTGGCTCCGTCCTCTGATCAATTCTCTCTCCTCTTCTCTTCCTGTACCACTTTTCCCTTTGCATGGTCCTTTCCGAGCGTGCCCTTTTCCCCAACCCCAACCACAACCCCGCCTCTTGTTTTTCTTCCCCCACTCACCACTCACCACCCACCATCACCACTTACGACTCACCATCACCACTCGCCGCTGCCAGGTTGTTGGCCAGTCGCCACATCGTCCCTCTGGACTACATATGGATTCCTACATCGGCCTTCATCATTCAGGTGCTTTCAACAGACACACTCAGGTGCCTTCACAGTCATTCAGGCGCTTTCAACAGACATTCAGGTGTTTTTTCAGGTGCTTCCATTAGGCATTGGCTTTCAAAAGTATTTCAGGTGTGTTTTCAGCAGACGCTCAGATGTTCGAAGGGATTGCAGAGGGAGTTAACAAAAACTGAGCTCATACACCTGCACCCAGATCTCAAATCTCTCCCTGCCCCTTCTCCAATCTTTCCCCCCTGCCCCTCCTGCTCTCTTGTCCCTCCTGTCCCTCTTGCCCCTTCGACCCCGCCCCGCACCAGAGGATGTACCGAGCGCCACTGCTCTCCAGTGACTCTTGAGACGTCTCAAACCCACCCACTCTCTCCCTGTCCCCTTCTCTCCTGTCCCTCCTGTCTCCCCCCCCTCCCCCGCACCAGAGGATGTACCGAGCGCCACTGCTCTCCAGTGTGGGCTTCTTGGAGCAAGCCATCCCGGGCATAGAGTTCATCCCCACAGCAACGCTTGGTGAGTGTGAGGAGTGCTACAAGGTGCGAGTGTGCAGCTGGTGTGTGTATCATGTTGCACGGTCACGGCGCACAGCTCACCGCTCTCCAGTGTGGGCTTTGTGGAGCAAGCCATCCCGGGCATAGAGTTCATCCCCACCGCCACCCTTGGTGAGACATAGCATGGCATGGCATGGCATGGCATGGCATGGGATGGCATGGCATGGCATGGGATGGCATGGGATTGGATGGGATGTCATGGCATGGTATAGAGTTCATCCCCACGGCCGCGCTTGGTGAGTATGAGGAGCGTTATTGGGTATACGTTCGTACCTCGTGTGTTTGTCTGTTTGTGCGTGTGTGTGTCAGCTGCTCACTTGGTCACAGCACCCACTGCACCTCGCGCTGTGTTGGCTTCGTGTAGCAAGCCGTGGGGGGGACAGAGGAGGGAGAGGGAGGTTGTTTCAGTGGCTAATATATATCCTTCTATAACTCTACCTTGGTTCTATCCTTAGGTCCCCCCTCTCCCCCCGTCCCTCCCCCCTTCCCCCCTTTCCTCCCTCCCCAGGCTGGATGCTAGAGACGTACCCTCAACTGCGCCAGCTCACTCGAGCCTTGCCACTTATGGGCCGACTCAGCAGCCGCTTTAAGAAATGAGGGGTACAGTGCGCATTGTTTAAATGGTTCTTTAAAAATCCGATCATTTTATATTGGCATGTTTCTATGTTCACCATTTTCTCTTACCGTATGCTGAAATGTGATCAGATTAGCACAAGTGCAGGTCCTATTGAAACTCGCGTGTACAACATGTGCATATCTTGTATGAAACATCGCTTACGGTATTGGAATGAACTACGGAAGGAACAAACTCGTTAGAATAGCAGAACAATTCTCGTGAAAATTGGCGCATCGGGTCCACGTCGCGCCAATAAACACTGGCGTCGCATGGTGCGGTTCGAATTCGAATTCGCATTTCGTTTCCTTTTCTCTCACCCATCTCTTTCTCCCTCCAACCCACATGGGCCTTCATGACCGATCGAACCCACGCACGGATATCCCCAGGTCACTTGCTGCAGATTGGGGGAGTCCCTTCTCAGCCCACACGATCCTGAACACAGGGACGTGGGAGTATTGGGGATGGGAACGCGAGAAGCAAACCCCCTCTGCTTTCCCTTCGCACGCCCAGCTCACCCACCGACCAAACTACGCCACCAGACTTATCTTATCACCGACCACTGTCGCTCGACTTACCTTATCACCGACCAGTCATTAGACCGGCGGCCTTATCACGATGTACCGTGGCTCTACCCAGAGGCTCCATTGGTCGTATAAAGGCCAGGACATGAATGTTAATCAGTACCAGCTCCAGTTTATCCACGAAGCTTACCCAGTTGAAGCATTGCGCAATTTCCTCTCATTCCTTTAAAGGCAAAGGCCCCACCTCCGTTTATTCAACAATCGACGCAGCCATGAGGCGCTCGAAGCTTTTCTTCGTCCTGCTCGCGCTCTCCCTGCTCGTATCCCTCGCACTGGCGCCGTCGTGCCGCGCGAATGAGATCGTCGCAGAAGACGACGCCGACGATGACGTGACGCCATCTCCGCCGACGCGTCGCCTCCTGGTGCGTTGGGTATCACATTGCGCTCAGAGACGCCATGCGCCCCCTCCGCCTCCGCCCCCTCCGCCTCCGCCCCCTCCGCCTCCGCCATGCCCACCCGCCGCCTCCGCCCTGCCTTGCCTTGCTCTCGAAGTAATCCCTGAACGTGACGATGTTGGCTGACTATGTTCGTTCCTTGCCTTCCCTGTTTCCAGGTCTCGTGAATGCGCTATACCGCGTGAGCCGGCGGTTCCTGTGGTCGCCGCGCATGCTGTCGTGCAAGTCGGACTGCGAGGACAAGAACAAGAAGTGCAACACGGATTACAGCAAGTGCAAGCGCGAGAACAAGGACGACGAGCATGACCACCACAAGTGCACGCACAAGTACAAGAAGTGCAAGAGAAAGGCCAAGAAGTGCCGCTCCAAGTGCGACTAGAGTTAAGGTGGCGGTTGATTTCGTTTGAATTAAAGTGCTTTAGACGGGCTAGGGCGCTGGAGACGAGTAGGATGGCTTTGGGAGGTTGCTGAGTGGCAGTCAATGTTGCATTCAGAAATAAGCTAACTGGCTCAAACCACAATGTTGATTCACTATGGAATGAAATACCTATTTCTGTAAAAATTATACACATGTCTGACAAATTACTTTCTTGCAAATGCATACTTTCCGTTCAATGTGGAATGGCTACTGCTTCGGATACAAAAGGCTAATTACGGTAATCCTGGAAAGTGACACACCAATAGCCCCTGCTGACCAGGCCCCTAGATTCGTTTTTGGGCACTCTGATGGGTCAGAGTGCACCCTTCTCTGAACTCTGTCAGTCAGAGTTACCTCTAATTTTTAGGCTGTAAATTCAGACAACACTACGTTTTTTAGGCTGAACATTCAGAGTTACACTCAAATTGAAGGGTTAGACTTTTGTACTTCATTATGTTGGGCTGAGAAAAGCCCTTAGGATCTTTACAGGGATGAACTCTGTGTAGGATTGTAATAGCGGAAGCGTTTAGTGAAGAGATTGTGAACCACCTTGCGCTAGTATGTGAGGGCAAAGTAGATTGATTAAAGCAAAGAGATACAAGATTATATAAGAGTACAAGGAATACGAAGAGACACGGTTGTAACTACTTTTACTGTTGCTGTTGCGGTTCGATACAGTGACGACTCGGGCAACTGCTCTGTAGCGAGTCAGTTGTGTGTCCTTGCTGTCGCGCTGTACTTGTCAGGTCAAAGGTCGCTGACCTTTGACTTTCGCGTAACCTCCAGCGGTTACTTCAACCTCCGAGGGTTGACTCGCTGGTGCC